CAACAACAGCCTCGTCGAGCATTCAAATAGGCAGTGATTAACAAAGTTCATTGCAACACACCGCTGCAAACTCCAACTATAATAATAATAATAATAATAATAATAATAATAATAATAATAATAACAATAATAATAAACATATTGTTGAATCTTAATCAGACGAACGTGCTTAAAAGTAATAAGTCTCTGACCGTGTCAATCAAAACTAAAAACTGCTTTTGAGTCACGGTTTTTTAAATTTGAATAAATACGCAGCTCTTGCATTGGATGTCATTAGATGGTGCAAGTGGTCTAAAATGTCAGTGACTTGTGTAAGTAGTGTTGAGCGCTTACACTCCATCCACGCCCATTCAAGATAGGCACGTCCCCTTAATTAAAAAAAAAAAGTAGGCGGTGGGGTAGGGGTTAACTTCTCAAAAAGTCAGCGCGCAACTTCAGTAGTTATCTTTTCCTCATTTTCTGTGCGCTAGAGAAGCTAGACGTAGCGTATCACTTACCGGTAATGGGCTCTTCACTTGGCTCCAGGAAAATCTTCCAGTTTTTTCGAGTGTTCGCTTTGGAAAGGCTTCTTTTCAAGCTGAGGGGATAGTTGTTACTTGGGCAGGTGAGGGCCCAAATAACCGGTTGATGACAGCCAGGACGCGAATGGACAAGCACCCATTTGGCGGACAGGAGCTTTGAACGGAACGATTACAGGTCAATATTTTTAAAAATAACATCATTTTCAATAAGAAAGTATAAACATTTTGGTTTAAACGCGTTGCAGCCGTTGCTGAGCCGTGCGCAAAATGCGTGCGTAAAGTTGGTGCCACTTCAAATAAGTCAAGTTCTTCAGCTGCCGTTTGGCATTAGTTTTGGCAATCATGGCAAAATGGTTTCGAGAGTTTCCCATCAACCTGAAGAACGGCAGCGAACGAGGTCGTTCGGCCTCCGAATCGGGCCCACAAGCACGACACAAACCTTCGTTCTCCCGCGACAGCCTGAAGGGAACCCCGCGTAAAGATAACGGAGTGGCTGCTTTACTAGCAGGGAGAAATCGGAAGAATTCGGCCACGGATTTGGGTCGGAACCAAAACACCGGCTCTGCGGGTGGAACTGTGTGGGAAACTCTGACGCCCGGAAAAAATCGCAAGAGCTCCTCCAAGGTGGAGGCGCCCGAGGAGAAGGCTCAGGCGAGGACCACCAGCCTGGCTCAGGCTTACATAAGCAGGATGATCAAAGTGGACAAGCAGGACAAGACCCCCAAACTGAACGGGAAAAGTGAGCCGACTAAAACCGACCTGGACAATGGACGTTCTGCCATTAATACAACGGTGAGTAACTTCATTTTGTTATATTTGGAACAAGAAGTGATGTTTTAACAAGTTGATGGAAATGGAATAGGGGCTAGGGGGGAGGGGGGGCACACACAAAAGTTAAACATGAAAGTTTAACAAACGTTTTGGGGGTGCTTAAACTACTTCAGAGCAAACATGTGTGATTTGTGCGCCTTATGGTAGCAGTCAACCCAACTCGCTTCACAATAAGCACCGTTTGGAAACTAGTGAAGAATTGAAAAAAAAAGAGGCTTTATGCTGTTTGATGCCATACTCACTTGAAGTTTACAAACATTTAACATAAGACAAAGAGAATTACACGTAATGTATTTTGAACAACTTCTAATTTGCATGAATCAAGTTTGTTTCGCCTAATGTTGAGATAAGACGAAAAAATAAGAAAACCTTTATTTGTCTCACAATGGAGAAATTCCCAATTTGTTGACAAACAATTCAAAACGAAGCAGACATATTGCATTTTGTGGTATTATACCTCTTTAAGCAATAGAGATTTGCTTACATGTTTTGTATACGTTTCTGTATACAAACGGTGCAGCAGCACATGTATACAGGCAATATAACGATACTCACAGGTATATATTCTTTATATTTATATAATATATACTATATTACGGCGACCAACAGAGAAGTAACTTGAAACCGTCTTTATGACCATGTATTTCTGTAGAGCTGTATCACATTGCCCCCAGGCGGCCAAATATGCACACCGGAAGGAGCAGCACAGTGTATGTTGAACTGAAGCAAAAAAATGTGGCAAAAACGTGAACTCTTTACATTGGATTTAATTCTGTCATTATTCTCTGTTTTATTAAAGCAGTACAATAAAACAGAATAAAATTTTTCTTTTGTCTTTTTTTTAATTAGCTGTCGTTTTTTTATGATGGTGACAGGTCTTGACTGTACAACTGATTCACACACTTTACATTACAGTTTCAATGAGTAGACTTAAAATTAGAACGAGTGGCTTGTGTTCCACATCGGAGCTTCCCTATCGTCCTGTTCCCATGGTGAACTCTGTATCCAATTCCCATCCTCAGCAAAAGAAAACAATGTAGTGAACCCTTCATTGTGTTACACTAAACAATACTCGGACCTCTTTACGCCATTATTTCCGTTTGTTCCTCGTGTGTCTTGTCAGACAATGGCCGATGCCCCCACCATCACACACAAACAAGTTAGCGCTTATCTTATCTGCATCTTGTCTTTGTGTTTCCCAGCTGATTATCCTCGAGGACTATGCAGATCCTTTCGACGCGGAGAAAACCAAAGAACAGAGGGAGGCGGAGCGAGCTGGAGTGAATGACGGTTACATGGAGCCTTATGACGCCCAGGTGATCATCACAGGTAAGGTTGGATGGTCACGGCTCCCACTTGTTGTTTGTTAAACTGTTATTGTGTCATCCATGGCCAGTCACCTATAACTGCTTGATCCACGGGGGGCAGCTGCAAAATACACACATGGACACACACACACACATTTTTAGCATGTTGGGAAGAAGCTGGAGTACCTGGAAAATACCCAGCAGCCAAGATTCAAAGCCTCAAATGTCAGACCTCTGAGGCAAACGTGCGAACCACGAATTCAACTGCTCTTCCCGGTTTCCTCCCATGTTCCAAAAACATGCATGCCAGGTTAATGGAACACTCAAATTTGTCACTAGGTGTGATTGCGAGTGTGAATGGTTGTTCGTTTATGTGTGCCCTGCGATTGAAGACAGCCAAGCACGCCCGCGACCCTCATGAGGATAAGTGGATTAGAAAAAGACAGCAAAGCATGCCCGCGACCCTCATGAGGATAAGTGGATTAGAAAATAGATGGATGGATGTTAAAGTAAAATTATCTAAATTCAGCCTTTTTTTCTTCTTCAGGTCCTTATTTTCAATCGTAAAAAAGAAAGAAAAAAAATTCTATATATATATCGATATCGGCCGATATTAAATACTGAGATCGTGATATACTTTTCAGTGATCTGGCCCAGCCCGACCTGAATTTGTATGTAGTCAGATGTTACCCCAACACGGTCATGAAGTCATAAATACGGTAAGTCTTTGTACGAAAAACACCTGAAGGCCATGAATAATAAACGTATTGAAAACCGAACGTGCGATGTCGCTTCTCGTGCCTCCTTGTACTGCCTGACCACATTTTCCGTGAGCAGTGTGTCAGCTACTTCACCCGTTGGTCAGGCTAAACACTTTATGTAATCTGATCCAAAAATCCAAACAATAAACACTTACTACTTGACATTAAAAAAGTATAGTAGGGTGCTAATAGCTTTTCACAATCTTACACTATCTTTAAAAATGTGCCAAGTATAAGAGTATGAAACAAGCACTTTTATTAGGTGTGCCGGTGAATAATTAGCTTTTATGCATACTTGGATTCAATCCACTTGGCATTAGCGTTCTAGGGGTCTTATAAAAGAAAGCCGGTGCCAAAAGGGAGCTGCGGCCTGCATGAATGCTGACTTCCATCCCCTTTGGCGGTTGCTACGGCAACAATGTTGCGAAGGGACAATGGGCGCAGCTTCCTCTTCCAACTTCCTGTCTCCTGCCTCTGTTTCCTTTGCCCCATTCTCTTGATATAGGAAGCTGCCCCCACCGCGCACATACACACACTTAACGTGTTAACAGAATGTAACAATCCCTTCAGCCCACCCCAAAACAGCCCACCCCCCATCACTTCCCAGCAGTCAGGAAGTAGGCTGCTGGGCCGTCCAATCTGAGGCAGCGCTGACCTTTTCTTCCTGCACCTCCATTGTGTGCGCTCACAATAGAGCAGACACGCAGGCTACCTGTCGGCCTGCACAGAAACACAAGTCGCATTCCGACTTGTGACACAGCGCAGGATGCCGTAACTCTTTTTATCTCTTGTCACCGGCACAAAGAGGCCCCTGCACTGTGTTTGTTCAAGCGGAATCACTTCACTTTGGATGGGTTTGTTTGCTCGAACAAGCCGTAAATCTTGAGAATGAAACATTCACGCGTCTGCTTGAAAGCTGAAGAGGACTTTTACCTCTCAGCATGGCAATGTTAAGTGTACATGCAAATCAACAAAAGTAGGACTTCAGAAAAAAATTCCAATTTTTGCAACTGCCCGGTCTGTGTGTGTGTGTGTGTGTGTGTGTGTGTGTGTGTGTGTGTGTGTGTGTGTGTATTTTCAAAATGGGAAATTGATCATTTATGTACATTTATCGATATTAATTCATAAGCTCACAAAATTCTAGCATACAGCAAATACAATAACACTGGTCAACATCAAATTTTAATCAGAGATGGCTTTGTGTGTCCCGAAACGTATTTTTAATGCATATTTTGAAAATGTCTTTTCTTTTTTTGTTTTGAGATCATTTTTGTTTGTTTTTTAGCAACAGGTGACATGTCATGGCTAGGAAATTACAACGCACGGGAAAATCCGTATTGCGCAAGCTTTTATAGGTCAATCGACCCTGTAAGACCTGACCCATCAAAGAATAGCCAGAAAATTCAGATTTTTGGGAACTGAGATGTTTATTAACCCTTATAACAAAATCCACAAAAATATTTTTGCTATATCATGTTGTTTATGAGATCTTTTTTGTGTCACGTTTTAGTAAGCATTATGTAGATTACATGTGAAATGACAATTTGGGGAAAATCATATTTTAAACCTGCAGTATCAAATTTGATACAGACGATTTAATTGTAATATAAAGAATGAGTTACTTAATAAATATGCATGTAGCAAATGTGATACGAATGGCATTATAGGGCTAACCACGACAATCAAGCAGAAGTGTAAACTCTGATGTTTTGCAGAGGTTCGCCGGCGGGGCTCCAAGGACCTCCTCAAAGTATGCGTGCTGCTCGACCCAGGCCAGGCGGCCGGGAAGGTAGAGGAGGGCAGGCCACCGCCGCCCAACATCTACGATACGCCGTACGAAGGCAGACTGGAGGGCGACAGCGAGGGCGTGTGGATCCCCGTCACGCGGCCAGAGTCTGACATCCGTCCGGCCGCCGAGTATGAGCTGCCCTGGGAGTGGAGGAAGGAGGACATTGTTCGAGCCCTGTCAGGTAGGCGGCCGAGCTGGTGACGAGGCTGGGCGGGTGCTCGTGGAAGGAAGGGTGTCATAGTCTTTATTTGTACAGTCATGTCATGACTGTACTATCATGACAATCTGTTTGTTTTACGCAGGAAGCTAAACAATCCTGTCGAACGACTCTCTGCAGATGTGTTGACTTTGCTGATGGAGTTTTATTGATATTCTGTCTGTGGCTTCCTGCAGCCCAGTTTGAGGCAGTGGATTGTTCTCCCGCTAAAGAGATCGGTCGTCAGCAGCAGCAGCAGCAGCAGCAAACTCTGAGACAGAAGAACTGGACGCACAAAACACTGGTGTCCACCTCTTCATCTTCCTCCTCCTCCTCGCCCTCCTTTCCCTCGTCACCCATTCTCAAGCTTTCCCCGATAACAACCTCGTCCCCGTCGTTCCCCACCCTGAGACTCTCGCCCTCTTCCAACCCCAACAAACCTCCCTCTCCTACCTCACCGAACGCCCCACTGGATGGGGAGTCGGTCAAAGTGGACCCCAGCCTGTCACTGGACAAGCAGAGGTGAGGAGGTGGACAAATATTTATGCCCAAAAACATCTATTGAGTGAATGAAATAAGTTATCAGCACACTGCAGTTTACCGTATTTTCCACACGAAAAGGCACACTGGATTATGAGGCACACCTTCAATGAATGGCCCATTTGTAATTTTCTTCATATATTGGACGCACCGCATTATAAGACGCATTCTACAATGCATCCACTAGATAGAGCTACGCTCAAGGAAATGCCAACAAAACACGACACTACACCCTGATTTAAATGGGACGATCAGATGTCAGTAAAACTTAACTCTGCATTGTAAGCATGTCTCTAGCAAGGAGCCATTTTGGGGTTGGCATATTACCGTAATAATCATACACAAGACGCATTGGATTCTAAGGCACACTGTGAGCTTTTAAGGAAATGGAAGGCTTTTTTAGGTGCACCTTTTAGTGCGGAAAATACGGTACCAACTTATATCCAGTCCTTTCCAAAAGGGGAACGGCGAGGTCATATGAGACAAAAGTTTAGAAGTCTAGCTTTTATTTCATGCTATTTATAAAGTACATCTAGATGTGTTAAAGAGCTCAGGGCAGCACATTTTGTTTGACCACACCCACTTTTCAAGTGAACCAAAGTATTGAAACATGCGACTGACGGTTATTTCAAGTTGCGCAGGTGCTGCCTTATATTAGACTGCATTTGCCGTTAGGCAAAGCGTGACGACAAGAGAGCTGTCTATGGGGAGTAAAGCAAACCGTTTTGAAGCTGAGAGAAGAGAAAAACTCAATTAGAACTTTTGCACAATCAGTGGACAGAGCCAGTACAAACATTTTTTTAAGGTTCTGAAAAAGAAAGGTACTACTGGTGAACAGACAGACATCAAACAGGTCGGCCAAGGGTATCAAAAGCGGTAAATGACAGAAACATTGGGAGAGCTGGAAAGAAACACTTTGATCTCAAGACCCCACGTAGCTGAAAATTAGCATTTATGCTAAGTCCGGCGCATTTCCACTGTTTATTCTTGTGTTGATTAATGTGCACTGTCCCAATGAAATAAATAAATAAAATAATGATTAGATATTTATATTACACCCCCCCAACACAAAAAAAGCTTGGGACAATTTGGCTTATGTAAATGCCTTCAAAACCTCTGTTCTAAGTGGCTAACAACCATTGCGGCGCACTAAGTGGAGGGTGTTCACTTGATTTAGGTGGGACTTGAAGTGTAAAATGCCTCTCTCCATCTCATTAAGCATGGCCTTTCTATTGAAATGGAACCGGCGGGGTACGCGCTCGCAGCGTGTTAGCATTTGTTTCTCTCTTGTAGCAGCCGAATGTCAATTTGTTCCCCGCTAAGCGCCATGCCGCCTGCTTGTATATGTGGCTCTCGCCTGTAATTGCTGTCAACGCCGCATTTATAGCGTTGGTAGGACTCTGTGGACTTTCTTTGCGGCCATGTTTCATTTGTCCGTTTCATGACTTGGCCAACCTCAAATTGACCCGTGATGATCCACAAGAAGTCGTGTCACCTTTTACCTCAAAGCGTCTTCTTGACACTTGACTTTGTCGCCGTATGTCGCCGTGCTGCGTCTCGTCCACGTCCTCGGCAAGCTGGTACCATGGTGGCGTGAGTCGGCAGCAGGCTGAGGCTCAGCTGCAGCGCTGCAGGGAAGCCAGCTTCCTGGTGAGAGACAGCGAATCAGGAACCAGCAAGTACTCCATCGCTCTGAAGTGAGTGACCGACTGTGTGTGGACGTGTCACGCAGCAATTTGCCCTCATTTCATGTTTGAGCAATCTTGTAATGATCAGTATTGTGTGTGCGAACTCAATGTTCTCATTTTAAAGTTTAGGGTCGACATGAATAGAGAAAAGGCATTTCTGTCAGATTAATGTAATTCCAAATCAAGGTTTACGTCCCATTTTGATGTATAGGGAGCAGCCTGTGGAGGGATTCAGCACGTTTCCTGATCCATCAGTGCCGCAGATGATCAAACTTTCATTTCTAAGATAGCCACGTCCACGAAACCAGGCTTAACCTCGCACAAAAATATCCCAGAAAGTTAGGTCCAGCGACTGGTAGGAGACTCAGAAAGTGTTATCATCTTTCATGAAATACTCATAGATTTGGAATCTTTTAAGAAAACCACCAAGACATAAATGGAGTTAACCCACTCTCAACAAAACTTGAATAGCACTGTTAACCCCCCCGCCCCACCTCAACACCCCCAAAAAAGCAGAGCATGATTACATATGTATGCTAGTAGGTGACTTCCTGCTTCATGGAGAATGATGTAATATGGCAGGACTATATATATTTTTTTCTTGGGCAGGGAGACATTTCAACTGTGACTCAAATGACAAAATAAACAAGAATGAAAAATTAATCAGACAGTGTCATATTCATGAATGTACATTTGCTCCTTAGAATTGCGGGCAACTACATATTTTATACATGATGTTTTAAAACTAAAGTGGCTAAAAGAGGAACAGTTTAAAATCTGTTGACAAAACACGGAGGATAAGGAAAGATGACATGACTGTCCTGTTTTGGATTCTGGAGAGGTAAAAAAAAATGTTTATTTCTGATGCAAAAGTTAAGAAGAGGAGAGCAATTGATTTTAAAAAGTGAGGCAAAATGGGGAGTGCTGTATTTTTGTATGCTTGCTTATTAGTTAAAAGGCCACTTCCTGGTTCATGGAGGATGACTTACATTGAGGACAAGTGCAGTCTATTGCTGTGTCCGAATTCACGGGCTGCATCCTCCGAAGGCCGCGTTTTTGGCCGCATGACGCCTGTTTCGGGCGTGACTCGACCGCACGTGGTTTCCAAATTTTAGGAAGACAATTCGCAGGCTGGTTCCTTGGACACCTTCAAAGGCTGCTCCTCTTGTAGCCTCCGCGGACCGCATAAACCAAACTGTGATGAATTTGGACAGGCTTAATGTGAATTTGGACACCACGTGCGGTCGTGTCATGCCAGAAGTGATGTCATGCGGCCGAAAATTCTGCCTTTGGAGGACCCATTCTATGAATTTGGACACAGCCTATTTATGGGACCAGTGGCTTCTTGCACACTGAAAATCCACATTCTTGCCGTTGTCATTTTGCATTGCGACACCACAAAACATTATTTCCCGATAAGACTGCCGGGAGTCACAGTTTTTCCGTTGCGGCGAGTTGTTTATACGCGCAACGGCCAAATGCGGGATGTGCGGTGGGGCGTCACCGGCTATTTATTTATTTTGTTTGTTTTTGCGATTATCCAGTCCTGTGTCCGGTAGCTTTACATTCTTCATGTGCGAGTAAAACGAGCGGTTGCCGAGTGCTCTTTGCAGAGTAAATCTATCTATCTATAAGCACAGATCTGACCTCACCTGAAAGCTGAGCCATAATGTGTGCGTGTGTATGTGTGTGTGTGTATGCGGCCCAGTGCACATTTGTTATATGCTGCTCATTCATTTGAGAGTCCACATCATTAACCCCCTTTACGAATCCACTGAACCTTCGCTACTGCACACCATCAGTTAGCCAGGGATAGATAACAGCAAGTGATTTAAATTCCCATATCCAGGTCTGGCTTATATTTCGCTGTGGCTCCATTTCTCCTTTGTGCTGACAATATTGCACCCTTGCCGTTTATCAGGACCAGTCAGAGTTGCGTGCACATCATCGTGGCCCAAACGAAGAGCAGCAAAGGCCTGGGCTACACTTTGGATCAGAGTAGCTGCGTCTTCACCAGCATCCCTGAGCTGGTGCACCACTACTGCACGCACAGTGTTTATTTCTGATGCAAAAGTTAAGAAGAGGAGAGCAATTGATTTTAAAAAGTGAGGCAAAATGGGGAGTGCTGTATTTTTGTATGCTTGCTTATTAGTTAAAAGGCCACTTCCTGGTTCATGGAGGATGACTTACATTGAGGACAAGTGCAGTCTATTGCTGTGTCCGAATTCACGGGCTGCATCCTCCGAAGGCCGCGTTTTTGGCCGCATGACGCCTGTTTCGGGCGTGACTCGACCGCACGTGGTTTCCAAATTTTAGGAAGACAATTCGCAGGCTGGTTCCTTGGACACCTTCAAAGGCTGCTCCTCTTGTAGCCTCCGCGGACCGCATAAACCAAACTGTGATGAATTTGGACAGGCTTAATGTGAATTTGGACACCACGTGCGGTCGTGTCATGCCAGAAGTGATGTCATGCGGCCGAAAATTCTGCCTTTGGAGGACCCATTCTATGAATTTGGACACAGCCTATTTATGGGACCAGTGGCTTCTTGCACACTGAAAATCCACATTCTTGCCGTTGTCATTTTGCATTGCGACACCACAAAACATTATTTCCCGATAAGACTGCCGGGAGTCACAGTTTTTCCGTTGCGGCGAGTTGTTTATACGCGCAACGGCCAAATGCGGGATGTGCGGTGGGGCGTCACCGGCTATTTATTTATTTTGTTTGTTTTTGCGATTATCCAGTCCTGTGTCCGGTAGCTTTACATTCTTCATGTGCGAGTAAAACGAGCGGTTGCCGAGTGCTCTTTGCAGAGTAAATCTATCTATCTATAAGCACAGATCTGACCTCACCTGAAAGCTGAGCCATAATGTGTGCGTGTGTATGTGTGTGTGTGTATGCGGCCCAGTGCACATTTGTTATATGCTGCTCATTCATTTGAGAGTCCACATCATTAACCCCCTTTACGAATCCACTGAACCTTCGCTACTGCACACCATCAGTTAGCCAGGGATAGATAACAGCAAGTGATTTAAATTCCCATATCCAGGTCTGGCTTATATTTCGCTGTGGCTCCATTTCTCCTTTGTGCTGACAATATTGCACCCTTGCCGTTTATCAGGACCAGTCAGAGTTGCGTGCACATCATCGTGGCCCAAACGAAGAGCAGCAAAGGCCTGGGCTACACTTTGGATCAGAGTAGCTGCGTCTTCACCAGCATCCCTGAGCTGGTGCACCACTACTGCACGCACAGACTTCCCTTCACTGGGGCCGAGCACATGACCCTGCAGCATGCCGTGCAAAGGTCGTATTTGTAACGGGCGTGATACGTGTACTCAAAGATGTGCTGCTGAGGAATGTCCTGTTTACCATTTTATTTGAGGGGGCAAGATGATAGAAATTGTTTTGGAAAAAGGGCAGGCCGAACAGATGAGCAAGCAGGAGAGTAAATTACGCTGACACCTTAGTCAGGAGGAACTCGACTTTATATCAATAAAAACCTTGTGCATTCTTCATGTTAAGAACTTTGGACAAGCTTACTTTTTTAGTGCACCTCCATTGCTTCGAAGGACTCATTTTGGTCTGCTCAAAGTATTATATGAGACCAGTGTTTCAGAAACTTTGAGCCAAGGAAAATATGTTACATTCGAAAAATCTCATGGCATACCAGCAAACAAAAAAGTAAAAAACACATTTCAATTATGTACCTTCTAACATTTAATGGAAGAGGATCTAAATGTCCTGCCTGTCTCTATAAAATGCTGGCATAGACAGATGAAAAAAATACATCATTTGTTCATTTAAAAAAAAAAAACGAAAGAAAATTTAATACAATTGGATCAGTGATTGAGAATTACTGCATTACGCTTCTTATGGTGAAACCAAACACTCCACGTGGAATTACAGCTTAACCTCTAAAGTCAAAAGCCCCTTAAAAGTACTAACCCTGCCGATTCCAGCCACCAATAAAGACCAAAAAAACCCATTCAGGAAGTCTTCCTCCGCAGTAGTTGGCGCTACACGCGGCAGTTTGACCAATCGGTGAATCATCAACTGTGCCAGAAAGGTTTTTGTTCACATTTTTTTGTCCTTGTGTTAACTAAAATGTTATATATCAAAAGTACTAGAGGTGTCGGTACTCGGTATCTTTGAGTACTCAAAGAGTGAGTACATATAGATATGAGGAAATTATGTTTGTTTGTTTTTTTAAGTAAATAAGAGCTCTGAATAAACATAACCCGTGTTACCAATGGCCATATCGCAATTTAAAAGCTCTCGAGTCTGCTTTACCAAGATGCTTTAACACAGAGGTGCTGACACGATCAAGAGCAATGCCGGACAATTAGGCTGACTTTGTTAGATCAATACAAGTGATTGGAGTATAGCCATTCGTCCATCCGCGGCTGTCAGTCCTCCTATTGATTCATCCTGAAAATGAGGCTAATTTGCTAGCCAATCTGTTTGTCAAGAGAAAGAGCTTTAGTAGTGATTACATGGCTCGGAAGGAAGGTAATGCAGGCTTCAGGGTGGGGTGGGGGGAACGGCGCTCTTAATGTTGCAAGTCAGCAGAATTGTCAAAGAATGCTGAGGTGTGCACATAAATGCAGGACTATGATCTAAATATTCTGCTTTTTGGTGATGAAAACGTGTCTCCTGTGCCTTTTCATGAATTTCCATATTTAAAGTACTCTTAGAGCCATACTAAATTTATAAAGACATTGTTATTATTATATATTTTGTGGATGGGGCTTATGAGATTTTTTTTCCCCCCACGTTTTTCATGGCGGACCAGTTTACATGCTCTCACAGGCCATCTCTGCCTTCAATGATGCATGCATGAAGTGGCTGAGTGTTTGTTTGATCAGCCCACAATCATGATGAATGCTGTATATTCTTGTTGTAAGCATGTATCCAGTAAATAAAATTGCATTGGTGACAGTGTCTTATTAATAGATAAGAAAAGCGAAAAAGGACAAGTGGCACCACTGAGCTGTGTGTGGAATCAATTACAGATACACACATACCTGGAATGTGTGACGGGCCATTACGGAAAAAAAAAAAAAAATCAGGATTTACTCTCACACTCACACACACACACACACACACACTTTTGAAACCCTCTCATACACACAAAGGACTTTTTCCCCACTCATGCACTACTGAAATGCACTCATACACTACTGAAAAGTTGTCATATGTACTACTAAAAATTTTGACAGAAACTACACTCGTTCTAATGAAATGCTCTCATTTTATTTTGCTTACTGAAACGCTCATTTGATTGAAGTGATGTCATCCAAAAAAAAAAAAACTATTGTTGTGTGAGTGTTGCAGTGGTGTCTGTTTCTTTCACACGTGTGAGCAGAAAAAATATTTAGTTGTGTGTGTCCCCCCGCCCCCAAAAAAAGGTTTGCATGACAATGTTTTCGTAGGATTTCTTTGATTCGTTTTTGTGAAGAAAAAAAAAATTCAGTGGTGAGTATGAATGTTTCAGTGTACAGGTACTATATGAGAGTGTTTCAGTCGTGTGTGAAAAGCATTTCACTTGTAAATGTAAGCAGAATGTTTTAATGTGTGCGTGAGAGCATTTCAAAAGTGTGAATGAGAGTGTTTCAGAAGTGTGCGTATTGTGTCAATGGGTATGTAAGGGAAAACGTGTTCAGTTATGGTGAAGAGTGTTTCCGCAAAATGTACAGAAAGAGAATTTTAGTAGTGGCATGAGCAAGACAGAAAAAACAATGTGTGAGAGCGTTTCAGTAGTGTGTGACAAATGTATCACTCATCAGCGAGCGAAGAGCGCTTCACTACTGTATGAGCCCCCAAAAATTGATGACGGCTTTACTTTACAGTCTTGTGTATGGGAGCGTTTCGGTAGTGTGTGTGTGTTAGAGGGAAGAATAATGCATCTCCAAATAATAACCACAAACGTGTTCACATGAAATGCAAGCGTCAACGCATATTCGCACCATTTCAAACCATCTCTGCGTTCATGTCAACACACAAGTAAACTCAGGTTTGCATGACTGTCTCAGCAACGTGTGTGCATCCATGTGTGTGTGTGTGTGTGTGTGTGTGCAGAAAAGAGAGAGGGATTACCGGGTTGCCATGGCGATTAGTGAGAGTGAGGTCGGGCCATCTCTTCAGGGAGGGAGGAGAGACACAGACCGCGATGTATAAAAGCAGCTATGAATAACCGGGACTTGAGTGGCGATGCACGTTGGCAACAGCGACACGGCATGCGATGTCAGAGCGCAGCCAGGAATTAGTCCGTTTGTTTGACTTGGCAATTGGAGTAGAGCGCCTCTAATTTGAGGTCAAAGACAAGTAAATATGTGTCAGATGTTCAGGTTCATACGCGCTACTGTCGGCCGCCGTTCTTCCGCACCCCGGGCGGGTCTCGAACGTTACGCAACAGCAGACACTACGGAGCATCACCTCTCCTACCATCTGTGTAATGCGTCGTGGTCAGCCCGTCTAATTAAAAGCCACGAAGTAGGTCACAGCAAACAAGAGGCCCCCCACGGGAATAGGCCGTGCCATTTATGCCTTCCTCAATCCAGTGAATTTGCAGTGTGCTCAGATTGTATTGCTAGTCTCATCTGCATCAGTTATTGTTTTTCGAATGGTCTAAAGCTGCAAACTATGAAACAGGACTGGGCTGACATTCAAACCAAGAATTGGAGAACCGAGGCAGACCTGTTAATCACTTTTCCACTGTGCTTTTGGCAGGAACCATATTTGGACATTTAAAGACTGTAAACTTGAAAAATTCTTGCCAAATATCAGAGCCATGCACAGGAAGGGTGCCGACGGGGCGGGGCCCCCCCCAAGCATCCACCCCGCACCCCCTCCAACTTCTGTCAACCATTGTTAATGAAGCGCATCATTATTGTGCTGGTGTTTATTGTGCTGAATGTGCTGGTCAGTGGTCCTCAACATTTTTTTTTTTTTTTGGGCAGTGATTGGTTCATGGCACGACTGATATTTCTGCCAGAAGCGTAAAGTTGGAGCTAGTTTTTGCATGCGCCAACCATCCTTCGTATGAATGCTGTCAATCAACTCACTATAGTACATTCATGAATCCATTCAGAATAATGGCTGCTATTTACTTTCATAGACTGAACAATTAGATTGATACAAGGCATGCCGACGGAGTGACAGCGAGGGAAGAAAAAGGGACAGAGCGGAGGAATGCAAAGGGGGGGAGGGAGGGAGGGAGGGTGCTGGAGGGGCTGGGGGAAGACAAGCACTCGTGGGGGTCCCAGCTTTTAAATAATTCAGCGAGAGACTCACAGCAGCACTCAGTGCAGAGGAGGAGCACTGTCAGGTCAGCTCATTCACCGCACAGGAGAGGGCAAGAGGGAAGGAAGTGTGGATAAAGATAGCACGAGAAGGGAGGACATTACTGCGAAAGCGTGGCCATGCGCATTTGCATGCTTGTGTCTGTGTTTGTGTTTGTGTAAGTGTGTGTGCGTGTGTGCCTGCGCGACTGTCCATGTGTGTATGCATGATGCAAGTAATATAACAGTCAAGGTGAAACAGGTCGCATACCTCCTGTAGATTTTCGGATTTCTTTTCATCACCACGGCAACCGCCTCCTCCCTTCCCTTCTTAGTCCTTCCCGCACTTTGTTGTCTTTTTACGCCCTTCTATCACTCATTCCGCATGGATCACATTCTGACTCACCACTGACTTGCTCTGGAAACACCACCTTATACAACCTCCTCATAACGCACGACATTTACTAGCTCTGCTCAGGGCAAAAGGGCAAGTGAAAAGGGGAATTAGCTGGGGGACAAAACAAAACCAAATCTTTCTGTGGGGGCAAGAATTGTGTTTTTAAAAAATGTAGAATAGTGTAACTCTACTTAAAGTCAATCAATATTCAATACATATTCTTCCATTTATTCGCAGATTTGGTATCATCTGACACCGTGTGGATTCATCAAACGCAATAAAAACTAAGTTTGTTTTTTACTCATTTTGCAAGTCCCCGGGTTTCATTTTAGCGGCAACCTATCACGTGACCGAGAAGCGCGCCTTGACCTGCGTCAAGAGTGACATACTGTAGACGTATGTAACAGGGGATCTGGTAAATTTTCAAAATAAAGCATCTTTCAGAGTCCGAAATAAATAAAACGGAAGTAATGTAAGTTATTTATTCTTTCTGCGGTCTGGTACCAAATGACCCAAGGACCGGTGCCGGTCCGCGGCCCGGGGGTTGGTGACCGCTGGGCTACAACTTTGAATGGTTGCCAGCCACTCGCTGAGAGTTTTCCATTAATTTAACATGCATGTATTTGGGACATTGGCAGAAGCCATAATACCCAGAGAATACTTGCAAACTACATACATGCAAGCCAAAACTGAGATTTGAGATTTTTTTTTGTTACTTTGCGCGGGTGTGCCTAATGTTTTGTCTGGCGTGGCTGCATATCGAACAAGTGACTGCGTGGGGAAGGCGTCGTTAGCCGCGCTGCGGAGAGGAGGGGGGAGGAACCACATGCACCCCTTTCCGCCACTCCTCCGCAGACCACCTCCATCCCTCCCTCACTCGCTCGCTCCCTCCCATCCCCACTCGCCGCCGGAGCACGACCCGCGAGTTGGAGCTCACCTGCGGACCCCAGCGAGACGATTTCCACGCGTCCTCTCCCCTCTTGGTGGTCCTCCATCGTCGGCGCAGGAGCTCACCATGACGTCAGGGTGCCAGGTAGCCGCTGAAGGGACGTTCGGGTCGTGAGGAAGAAGAGAAGGAAGAAAGGAAGGGAGAAGGGAGAGGAGGATTCTCCGCGGTCCTCGTTGAACACCTTTCGGGCTGGGGATGGTGAGGATGAGGATGATGGAGGAAGGCTGGCTGCTGATGTTGCTGCTGGCGCTGCTCGCCATTGCGAGAGGTGAGTAACTCGTGCGTGCGTTCGTACCTCCATCCGTTTATAAATTCAAGCCTTCCGTCTGTGGAGTCAGTGTGGAATGTTTGGCAAGAGAGGAAGAGGAGTCACCATTTTTTCCCACGGAGCGCCACGCACTCATGTACATATATGGTGGTGGAAAAACCACCATAGGAGGCACACGTTATAAATGCACTGTCACTTTAAATGTGGATCCAGTGACACAGTGCCACAAAAATATCCCAGCACTGATTTATTAATGACGCTTTCAATACACCGACTAAAAATGTTTTAAATGCATTTTAAGAGAGTGGCAATATGTTCAGTGTATTTAAAATAACTTGTGATATCTTAAAAATATTTTTTTATCTTTAATAAAACTCAAATATTGATCTTTATTTAGAACGTATTTTTTATATTTATTTTCAGAAGTGTTTAATGTACTTTGGCTTATTAGTGATAGCGTCTATTTAACAAATATTATGTAGCGTTTTTAATATATTTGCAATATGTTTAAAATAGCATGTCTGTATTTTTATTAAACATATTTATGTGGCTTATTTGTAATCTATACGTTTTATTTCAAGTCATGTATTTCCCAATATGCAGTCATAGTACTCAATCCATTTGTAATATGATAAATATTTAAAAATATATCTGCCATTTTGATTTCGACTGCATTTATTGGTTCAATTCATTTGTGATATATTAAACATATTCAAGAGCTTTGAATGGATTTGTAATGTGTTCATCATCAATATCGATCATTTGTTTAAAAAATATTAAGTAAATTAATTTTTATTTTCATCTGATGTAAGGTAGTCAGTTCAAATGAGGATCGGTCCCAGATTGCCTTACCCAAATAAAGTTTCATAAAAAATAACAGATCACTTAAAAAGAGTAAAAAATATAGATATTTGTTTTGCATTTAATATAATGTATATATTTTGAAAAAAAACAACACAATTACACCATTTTTAATTTTGAATGCATTTTTTTGTCATGTTTTTATTTCAGAGGTATAGTCGCACTGGGAAATTGCATTGTAAATATTGCAAGAACTAATAGCATCAGAGTATAATGTGAAGTTATTTTACCTTTTAAAATAGAACACGTTATCGCCCTCCCACACATTCTTCCATTCTCTGTCTCTCATTAACACGGAGGTCTCGGACTTGAGTGGGCAGGTCAATCAGAGGCAGGTTGAGTGAGACAGCTTTCTGTCATCAAGGACAAATGACACTTAGCAAATACAGGAAATGATGGTACAGCAGCATTGGCGTATCTAGCTCATTTTTAGGGGTGCTTCAGCACCCCTAAGTAGAATCCAAGCGCTGCCAAAATTTTAGAGATCTCTCTCTTCCTCCATATATGTATAAAACTGTCTTCTTTTTAACAAACTAGAAACTTGTTCAAAAAACAGAGCACTTTTTGAAATGTAACATTAACAACCAAAATGCATCACACCCCCTTTTGCTGAAAAAATGGGTTTGGTCCAGCTCACTCCTCCCATTGGATTGAAGGTGTAAATGTAAGTTGCTTTAACAAGGATATGTGGCTTTTTTTTCCCTTTTACCACTCAATACCAGCACATTATCATTACAAGGTTGCATTTACTGTTCAATCATTTTGCAAGGAACCTCGGAAACATTACAGGTAGACCAACCAGTAGACCGTCTACTGTCTTTTTTGGTCAGAATGAGGGGAAACAAGCGTATGCGATGTGCATGTACTGTATTAATATCAAAGCTGCTATTGTCTAGCTAACTGACATGTGTGTGTGTGTAAAACCACAGACAACATGATTTACTATGCGCTAAATTTCACCCGGCAAAGCCTGACGCACCCCGCCCTCCCACCCCGGACAGCCCCCCCTCACTGACTTCAACACCCATTTGTAGCATCAAAAACAAAAACCTCTGATCCTAGAATCACCCCTGGATAGCAGTACATACATGCAGGCTTAATGCACTTTGGGAGTACTTATTGTAAGAGGTGCATAGAAATGATGCTCCCTCTTTGTTGTTTCAAGTAGAACGACTGACTGGCACTGAGTGAAAAGGGCATCACCTTAATTGGGCCTCAGGGAATCGTGTTCAGGAGTTTCATCCATGCTCTACCTGTACTGGGACACAGCTCTTAAATCGATCAATCAGGAGCTTGGCAAGCCCGCTGAGTGGCCAATTTGTCATCTTAACAGAGACATTTTGGATAACTCTAACTACAAGAATGGCACTTGACTTAATTGCCTTCATGGAAAATTGAGGAAAGGAATGAAAGACAGCACTAACAAGTAAAGGGTAGACTAGGAACGGAAAGGATGTCGAGCTGGCTTTTTTCTCTCCCCACCCCGTTGCATTGAGAGCAACTTGGACACACCGAAAGCTGGCAATGATGTCATCTAATTATCAGATTACAGGATGGCGTGTCGCTGTGTGAAAGTGCACACAGCCGCTGCATTATCCCACTTTGCTGGATCCTGCGGAAGAAGGGGGATAAGTCTTCTGTTACAGCTCTGATGCGGCAAGAGGCTTGTACCTGGGGGGCTTGCAGTCTCGCACTTTCTGGACTCCCGTTTGCATGCCAGCGTTGCGCAGACAAGACCTTCGCCGACGTCACGCCGTACTTCTTTCGAGAGCAAACTCGTGTTACAATCCATCAAACTGAATTCAGGAAGCCAAAGCATACTCAATACGTTAGTCACATACACAAAGTTTTAACAACAAGAAGAGCACGTAACAAGCGAAACTACGCAGTAAAAAGTACATGATTATGTCAACAGGAAAATGAGAATCAGAATCATCCATTGTGCAGTAGTACAACCCAATGACAGCTTTGCAGAGTCATCGAGCAGAGATGACGCGATCAGCGGTGTGGTACTTACAATACGATGACGGTTGTGCAGGTGATGCAGATCATCGTTCCACTATTTTTAAGTGACCAGTAGCAGTAATTGTCGTCCAGCTTAAGTTGTTCAATTATGCCGAAAGTCCTTGAGTGTGAAACACATACTACGAGCACTAAAAAAAAACTAAACCAAGAGAGATTGGCAGAGGGACAGCTGAAGGTTGACACAAGGAATAAAAATAGTAAAACAGAATCTCATCTAAACAACATAAAGAAATACTAAAAACTATAAAGCGAAAACCAAACAAAATAACAGAAGAAGGACTTAGAAAAGCAAACCGGATAACACAAAGTGAGTACAGCCTGTAGCATACCTCAAAAACAGGAAACACAAAAAATTCCAGACTGATTGTCACGGTCAACAGGTGTGTCGCCGTTGGCTCCACCCACGAGCAATCACCCAGTAAACTGGAGACAGGAAAAAAAAAGCAGAACTGAAACATGAGAACTAGTTGCCAATTAGAATAAATTAGGGGCTCTTAGGCTACGTTCAGACTGCAGGTCTGAAGGCTTAGTTTGGATTTGGGGGTCAAATCCCATTTTTGCGTGGAATCGTTCACGTTACATATTAACCATTTCATGTACCCTGTCACATGATAAACTGTCCACTGTAGTAACCGCTGTCTCTGAAAGGGTTAATATGTCTGGTGTGAAAACCAAACGCGGCGTAGTGTTCTCCAACGAGGAGCTTAACGGCAAAATTCACAAATCGTAAAAATTCTGACACGCAGACGGTACATTTGTGACATACGTCAGTGACGTGACATCAGTCTTTAGCAGACGTCTCCGTCAAATGATAACATCGAGGAGCGATCATCTCGTTACCCCAAAAACATTTGTATCTCCTCCCGCCTCGCTCCTTTGTCAATTCTCGATGGAATTTTTGGTGGGAGGTGCTAGAGCAGGTCAGTGAGGCGCGAGGACCAATGAAATGCAATTTGACGAATGAGAAGAGCCCCCAGTGAGTCGTCAGTGAAACAGGAGTCTGTCGGTACCGACCTGGTTTGTGACGATTCCGGTGACGTATGAAAAGCCCATTTCATTCCCTGTTGATGCTCCGTCGGTTAGTTTTTCAAAGTTACCTGTCATTCTGCTTTTTGCTAGCAAAACAGGCATCCGCCAGTGAGGAATTCACGGACCTTCCGTCAGCACTGACGCACTGTCAAGGTGTCGCTGTAGTATTAAGATGTTGCAAGTGCAACGGAGAAATAAGATGCTCCCAAAATGTAAAGTGACTTTAAGCAGCATCCGACAAAGCAGCAGAGCGCGAATGAGTCATTCCTCCTTTAGGGTGAAAATCTGATTAGCATTATTATCCTTCCAGACTACAAACATGTGCCAACACACGTTTGGGGGGGGGGAATACTCGCAATGAGCATGAAAGCCTCACCCACTCAATCATGGGGGAAGCCTTCAAAATGCAACACATCCTTTGAAATCACGCACGATCACATTTGCGTTGAATGGCGATGATGGCGGCGGCCGCGCTGGCATGGCGGAGCATCCCGCTGAGCTGAGACGAGGCAAATGGATGGGACATTTTACGCGTCAACGCACCAACGCGTCTCGTCAGGGCGAATACATGTGATCAGGGGAGACACGCGGGAAGAATTAAGTCTTTAAATTAAGCGTCCCACACAGGCCACCTTTCATCCTGAAGACTGTAGCGTAGTTGAACGCTCACATATGGAGTGGCGGTGGCGTCGGCCGTCTGCGCAAGGACACTCAAGGGCATTTCAGCACCTGTTTTACACGCTGCCGTATGGGGATGCACACCACTCCTTCTCTCCCTCTCTCTCTCTCGCTTTCCCCCGCTGGGCCATGCATAATAAACAGGTCTGTGGTGCGGTGTTGACCTTATGCAAGGGTTACTACATGCTGACACCAAGATTAAAGAGCGGAAACGCCAATGTTGAATGCCTTAAAGCGAGTACTTTGACTTCAATAGACTTCATTTCAGCCAGCATCTAAAGATTAACTCTACGAGCTCTATTTTCATAGAAAGCGCATCCGCGCCTTGGTGAAAAATGCCGGCGGATCCTGAAGGTGAATTTTTGTTCAAGTTCCATCAACAGAACAGTTAACATAAAACGACAAAATACAACACAGCACATAAGACACAGACAGTCGTTCAATCTTAACCACTTTTTCTGCACACGCTTTTGTTGTTTGAAGCAGTTCTAGATGAAAGACATTGGATCAAAGACGTCATGCTGAAAATGTGCACACGTCTGCTACAAGCTAGTTTTGAAGCTGTAGCGTCCATTGACGAAAAAAAAGAGATTGGCTCACATCTCCTGTCCCATGTAAATCCGCTTCAATTCCAAGCGGCATCTCCCAGTTCCACCCTTTGTCGCAAGCTCGAGAACTTTATTATTTTCATCTTTAACTGACACAAACTCAAAATAGTGAGCATATTTCCAGCTTGAAAATGGGGATCGCTCTCATGTATTTGTTTTTGTTTCTAGCTACTCAGTATGTACACATGAGTTGTCAAGGTTAGGGTTACGCTGCTGCACAGTACTTTTTGATTTTAAAGACAACAAAAATGTGTTTGTCGCACTGTGACACCTTCCTCTTTTTGTGTGTGTGTGCAAGAGACAACAAATTATTTCCCCATCACCGCCACAAGTTCTGCTCAGTCAGTCAGACTGTCATCACTGCTCTGCTGCACCACTGATCTCTGCAGCAAATCAACAGTCCCCCACCCACCTCCTCTCGCTCAGCGCGTGTTTGTGTCTGCATTGACTTTCCGTCGGCAACCTTTTTGGAGTGGCTCCTAAAACACTGCAGCGGGATCACATCAGCGCGTACATGCCTGCACGTGTGGCCGTACACAAGAGATGTGTGTAATGAGTAAATCTGCATGTGTGCGTGAGAGCGTGTGAACGAATGGGCGGCCATGCTAGCCCAGGAGATTAGGAGAGCACGGCGGAGGGAGAGCAGAGGTTTAATAGAAACTTAAGCGGCCCGCAAGAAGCACCAGATAAGAGAAAGAGTTTTCACTTGGGCAACGTGGTTGTTAATTAAGATTTAATGCACTTTTATTGTCATGAAACGTGGTGACAGGCTTCATGTGAATTCTGAACTCGAGAGTGAAGCCATCGCAGTAGCAACAATACCATTCGTGACACGCCAGAGTGGTGAGAAGCTTTTGAGGGGAGTAGCTTTGATTAGAAAAGTTCACTTTAGCTCAAAGTGGACGGTGATGTGTTGAAAATGAAATACAGTCTCGACCGTTTCAGGAACAGCGGTTACGACCGTGGACAGCTTATCATGTGATCAGGTTACAGCAGGGGTGTCAAATTCATTTTTGTCGTGGGCCACGTTATAATTAATTTTTGGTACAGATTTTAACAGGCATCATGGAAGTTGTCATCTTTGATTCGCTTTTGCGGGCCACTTAAAATGATGTGGCGGGCCACATCAGGCCCCCGGGCCTTGAGTTTGACACCTGTGGGTTACAGGGTGCATGAAAGGTTAATTTGAATAGTGCATTGATGGTTACAATGAAAAGGTCCATGGTGAAAATGATCTTAATCATGAAAGGTCCAGTACATGTTTTTGGTAAACATACTTACAGTATATCAACAAGCCCACACGAATGCGTCTTTGTGTTCAAAATTGATTCTCCATCTTATTCCTGAGGGCTCCTGTAGAGAAACTAGTATGATGAGATGTTGCTATTTGTTACAGCGGGTTTTGTTTCACGGAGCGGTTTCTTTGAATTATTATTATTATTATTATTATTATTATTTTAATTTTTTTTCTCAAAAAAATCATTTGCCCCCTTTGCATTGAAAAATGTCTTGCATGGCTTGGAAACTTGTTGTGCAGAAGAAGTTCAACCCGGCCGATCATTTTAATGTTTGTTGCGGCCGGTTGAAGTTGGCATAACTATAGATGTTCACAAAAACTTGGAAGAGTGATTGCAGTTTTATGACGTCGAGCAATGTGAAGTTTGTGTGGTTACGTACAGTGAGAAGTGAAGAGTTTTGGCTGGATCCTGTGCTTTAGGCTAAAGAAGATTGTGTCTGAGCTCTTTGCGACAGAGTTTGGAAAGTACCTTGTCGCTGGCCTCTGTTTTTATTTTATCCCTCTACCCCGCTACATTAGCAGGAATGTTTGCTCCTATAAACTGCAACAATTGTCGTTCCTGGATTGTTATAGTCTGTAACTGGCATAGAAAGTGGATTGGCACAAACAGTTTCCATGGAAACTAAACCCCGGTGTCGCGATACCTTGGGGTGTAGGCAGATACATTAGATCCCCGCCATTGGGGGCGGGGGGTGGGGCGGGGGGCATAAGGACGGAAATCGTCTTATAACACTGGTCAACAAATTTTGACATTTTCTAATCAGAGATGCAAGTAAAATTTTGGAGATCATTATTTGGTGCTGATTCAGAATCTGTCCTCGTTAATTCCTCGAGGATATCAGGTTTTCATAATCCTCATCATCATCATTAATAGTAAAAATAATATCATAATATATTTAGTAATGGGGAGAAATTAGACCATGATAGGATCTCCCCTGTGAAATGCACCACCGCAGTGTTGGAGGGTTACCTGCACAAAATGACCCACAAAACGGAATCTTTTTCAGACATAGGCAGTATCAAAGCATGCTTTTTGCAAAAAAAAAAAGACACAAGAGGTTGTTCCTTATCGTGTCTGAGCAGTCCATGTGCACCCTACAGAGTTTGTTGACGCCGCAGACAACAGATCCTCTGCATCCCGTGAGTGCACAGTGGTTTGGCTTTGTGCGATAGAGCAGCCGTGTGCTACATCAATATTGATATCTCCCTTCTGTTGGCACCACACTAGCAATCGGTTGCTGCCAATAGTTCTGTTGATGCGCACCATTATTGATTTGTGAATATTCGAACAAATAATGAGCCCTGCTAGGTGAGTACATAGCGGGGAAGGCAACTCTATCTTTATAATTGCCCTCATAAAGAGATGTTCACTGTTGTCTAAATCTATTTAACTCTCATATGCCCTCATTTTTTTCCATATTTGTGTAGAACTCGCAGCTATAATTTGAACCCACTCGTGTGTGTGTGTGTGTGTGTGTGTGTATTTTTTGGTTGTGCACGAATGATGGTGTGTAAGTTCTCTCGCTCCGTGGTCTAATGGGAAGTCCTGCTGCAATATTCATAGTGTCACATTAAGTTTGCAATATTTGCATTGGGGAACAAGCAGGATCAGACCTTAGCTTGCAGCCACATTACAAGCACTCCGCTCGGCCTTTAGCGTGACGCAGCCACACAGACGGTCCGTCCTTTTTATTGTTTTTAGGAGGAGCTACTTAGCATTACAGAAACAGTAGCGTGAACCTATCATTCAAACCGACATTTTGCAAGGATGCTTGAGGTTGGCAAACATATGTTAGTTGCCAGCCGTTATCACAAACTGCTTATGTACTTAAGGGTACCGCTTACGTTGTCTATTGACACAGCGGCCAAGAGCAGTGAAAATGATGTGGTTGCGCATGTGTAGCTGCGTCAGATGTGAGTGTGCCACATTCAAAGGGAATGACAGGAACTGCTTCAATTGGCTGTGTTTACGCCCACAACGGCGCAAACCACGCTTTTTAAAATATGACAGCTTTTGCCAAATGGCACCAATTTACGCTGCGTGCCTTGTTGGATTTGTATGAAAATAAAGCCCTGGACTACAACTAAACTGTCTCTCGGGCGAGCGCAGGCCTTCGCCAAGGCTCAACTGTTTGTCCATCTGTTTGTTAGTTCGGCTATATTTACACTACGTTCCCGGAGGTCATGACAGGGTGTTGTGGGATTTTGGCCTTTATTTTTGCCCATTTTCAAATTTTGCTAAGTTTTCTCACTTTCTATCACGATATTTGTGACAGGCCGTGGGACTTTTCTTTTTTGACTCACGGTTGATCAAGAATGCAGGAACATTCCCGCACATTTGTCACAATCTGTCAAGGCTTTCCATGAATGAAACCTAAAGACCGAGCACATTTGTTGCCCTTTCAGAGTCTAAGGACGTTACCCTACCTGGCCGGACTCAGAGTCGGCGTCGGCATCGGGGGGTGGGGGGACCACTGGTGTGTGTGTGTGTGTGTGTGTGTGGGGGGGGGGGTGAAAACTGCTGCTCAATAATGTGCTCTAAATGTAGTTTTCAGTCAACAACCAATTTGTCTCTTGGACCATAATGGCTGCTCGTGCCGACGGGACCGTAGTGTAAATGCAGCTTCGGTTCACAGGTAACTTCCTGATTCATAAGAGGAGATGAACAGAGGGGTGCCATTATCATTGTAGTGGTGGAAGAAGTTTCCATTGATCCCATAGTGACTCAAAAGGTGATGATAAATACCTGGACCAACACATTTTGTACAGATTCTTCCCAAAAAGTAATCGCTTCTTCCTTGTCCATCCTATGAACTATGTTGTATCGTCACCATACAGGAGCCCCGCTCTTTAAAAAAAACAAAAAAAAAAAAACACTTTCCAAGTATCTTCCATCAGCCACATGATGAGGACTGAGATGCAGGGAATGTGTTCTGCTCCATCACTGTTTAAGTGGACTGCTCCCTCTTTCCTGTCTCACAGTGCTTTTATTGCCTTGAGCTTCTGGGAGTATTGCACATTAGTCATATGGCTCTGTAATGCTTATTTCCCCCGTGAATATGTGCACACAACTGGATTCATATCGGCACCCACATGCCATAAATAAAACCAATGCTGCACACACACACATGCCGACAGGCCTCGTAGTGATGATGTTGTACTAGCTTGAGAAAGGCCAATAAATGGACAGCGTCTGTCAGCAATACCTTCAGCGGAGATGGTGATAACAGGAAGAAGGAGAGCCAGGTGGAGACAGCTAGTACAAGAACGTACAGGCCGTCTCGGATGTTGCAAAAGGATGGAAGAGGCTGCAGAGAACTGAAGGTTCAAAAAGGGGGGAAATAGGGAGGAGAGAGAGCAAGGAGGGGACTTGCGTGATGGGGCAGGAATAGCATCCTCATTGATCCCGAGACAGAGGCTATCATTCCGCTTGGCTGAGCAAGGCTCGGTGCTGCAGGGCACCAACCAACGATGAAGGGACCGTCGGACGCTGGGGAGGAAAATACACATGAATATGCGCAGTGACATGCAGAACAACAGTGGAGAGTGCAAGGAGGCAAAGAAATATCCCTGCTGCACCGGAAATGCTTTTTTAAAAAAATGTGGCAAAATGTAGATTTTCCCATCAACAAAATGGCAGATTGAATACAGCATATAATTCACACAATTTTATATCATCAATTGGTTGCACAAAATCAAATCATCTGACATGTTATTTTTTTTTAAATAATCATAAAAAATAACAAATAATAAATGAATGTGAAATATATACCATGCTTTCATCACAAAGTCAAACAGTATGTGGAGTGTTGTTCTGCTCTTTTGAAAGTATAACATCAAGTATTATTGATCGTAGGATTTGTATTGTATTGTCTTTCACGCAGTTAGAGAGATAATTTACAAACCAAAATGGATGTCTTGATAGGGCTGTTTAAAAAAAAAAAAAACCTTTCACACAAATATTCAGGAGGAAGCCTAACCGCGAGTGATCATGTTAAAAGCAAAATGGTCACGATATTAATAGTACATTTTTTTTTGGTTAATTTCCTTGTGAAAACACAATGCTATTATACACAGTTAAGTGTGTGATCCCATTAAGGAGTCATTATGCCCCCCCCCCCCGAGTGTGTGAATCAGTCATCGCAAGAGCTGTTTGTTTTCCCGCTAGGCCGTTAAAAGCTTCTGATTGCAGGGTTGGGATTGTAACCCTGTTGACAGTAAGAAGGGAAAGTGTGAGGTCATTATGATTACGAGAAGACAGGAAGGGGAGTTGTGTTTTCGGTGAAACATATCAGCGCTCGCTTAATGTGTATGCTCGTGAAGCTTCGGTTTCATGCAAAGACAGACAGACATGAAGTGGCACAGTGCTTCGCTGCGGCTAACTACGTGCTGTCATTGCAGGCAGCCTCGGGGCTGACACGGAAGAGCGATTGGTGGAACATCTCTTGAATCCCGCGCACTACAACAAGCTGATCCGTCCTGCCACCAACGGCTCCGAGCTGGTGACTGTGCAGCTCATGGTGTCGCTAGCCCAACTCATTAGCGTGGTGAGCATACACCCCGAACAGCGCACCACACGATAATGTGATCAAAGATGGAGTCGAAATCGATTAATCCATGACGTGATTCATTTAGTAATCTTTACACCACTCTAAATTTTAGCTACGAAGTATTAGTCTCACTTTCCGCCACTGACCGTATCCCTTTAATATGATTATTTTCAAACAAGCAAGTGACCAGAATAGAAGAAGCTAGCGATGCTAAACGTGATTAGCGGCTAGTCAACTTGAAGCGTAGAAAGTCTAGTTGACTCGTCAACTAGTCGACCAATTGGTTAACTAGTACTGTACAAGAATTTAGAATATTCTACAATAAATATCGTTCAACAGTGGAACTTTGAAAGCAAGAGTGTCAAACTTGTTTTCATTGTATAAACATAAAATTAGTTTGAGCTGTGACACTGCAGCTTTTCTCTAGTAATGCAAAATCAATAGCTTCTTGAATATTTTCTTTTTCGGAAAGTACAACAGCAAACCCTGCACTTGGTTCTTATCATTTTTATGGTTAATTTTTTCCAGATATAAAGACAAAATGAGAGCAAGCTTTAACAGGCTACATAGAATGAAAATTATGTGGGCCTTGAGATGAAGACTTCTGCTGTAAACTTATACCCGAGCTTGCACATAAGAATGTTGAAAACAAAATCAAGAAGTGCCGACGACTCGTTTTGGAATAATACCGCAACCATTATAGTGAAGAATGTGATGGGAACAATCTGTAAATGGATGATTATATTGTGGTCATTTTGATGTAAATGTTAGGGTATATTATTTCTTTTATGCCACTTACTGGAAAATCCACCAGTTTTCTCCTAATTAGGCTGTATTAGAACTGTACAAAACGGCCTCTAATTTGTGATCATTCAAAGATAACGAGTACATCTGGAGAGCCTTCATGCACTGACGCTGACGACTGCTATACGGCATTTAAATTGATTTTCCCGACTGCAAAAAGTGATTAATGGTCATCTCTTCTAGCGAGAGCTGAAAATGAGGCAGTCTAATGATGTAAATCCCAGGAAATGTGAAGTTAAGTGCTAATTAGCCGGGCTAAAATCCTTATCTTCCCTCTTTGATTGAATTCAGAGCAGTATTGAAGATACTTGCGAAGAAAGTTAAACCCCACTGATTTAATAAAACAGAAATAATATCTTTTTGTATTTCGGGGGTTTTCCCCCTATGACAATAATCCCATTTTATAGCAAATCATCTAACTTTGCTGCCATGCTCTGCACACATTAAATGGCTTTGTCTGGAGATTGAAGCTCATTTGAGTGAATTCCCTTCGCAGAGTTCATCCCAGTATGTGCCCTGGAATTCATCCAAAACGACGGCTTCAAACCAAAATGCCAGGCTTCCTGTTCATTTTTGGGGAGTTTTTTTTGTCCAGCTTGTTTGCATGTGTCTCGTTTTGATAGACACAGCCACTCTTTTGAGTGTAGGTTGCTGAAATTGGTGTTAGAGGCTAATTTGTGCGCTCAAACCTCACTCTATTGAGTGAGGTTTGTAGGTCATGTTTGGACCTCGTAAAATACAATTTAAAAATATTTTTTTAGGTTTTTTTTATATCTTTATGCATGATACAGTAACGGCAGGATGATATGGCCGGTTTCAAATCAAGATATAAACATAAGTGTTTAATTTATAATCGAAGTATTTCTGAATGCAAAACTAAAGTAAAATAACAAAAACAAAAGATAAAATGTAATTTTGAGAACACTTATTCTCCATTCATCCAACCATTCTCTACCGCTTATCCGGGTGTCACTACACTTATTTTCTCGATCAAAAGTCAAAATTAAAACTCATCACTCTATAACGCTTGTATTACAAAACTTAATACATTTTATTTTAACGTGCCTTTGACCTTATCGGCTCCCTTCTCCTGGCTGATGTATGCAGTAATGGAGTGATTCATTTTCATTTTTCAGAAGTGTGTGCTGTGCCTACTGTGTCGCAGTTTTTTTTTCTTCTTCATTTTCTTTTTCGACACTTTACTTACCAATTTGCTGTTCATAGTTGACTTCTCCCCACTGTGACACAGTTCTGTACTATACCACCTATCTAAGCATATACAGCACCGTATCATTCAGGTGTTTTGATACTCTACTTCTCACATTAGATTAGCGGTTAGCATGGCTTTTCCATCTCCTGACGGTACTTGTCACAAGTGAAGCGTATTTGCTGCCATGGCGGCAAGGATTAGGAACTTAAAGGAGCGTTTTTCAGAAGTGTGTGCCGTGCCTACTGTGTCGCAGTTTTTTTTTTTCTTCTTCATTTTCTTTTTGGACACTTTACTTACTAATTTGCTGTTCATAGTTGACTTCTCCCCACTGTGACACAGTTCTGTACTATACCACCTATCTCAGCATATACAGCACCGTATCATTCAGGTGTTTTGATACTCTACTTCTCACATTAGATTAGCGGTTGGCATGGCTTTTCCATCTTCTGATGGTACTTGTCACAAGTGAAGCGTATTTGCTGCCATGGCGGCAAGGATTAGGAACTTAAAGGAGCAGATTCCCACCATGAAAAGATGAAAAGTGTTTCACCTTGTAAGCTAGCCATCCGCAGCTCGTATCTGGTGCGGACTCGCAGGCAGCAAATTAAGCTTCGTGCCTAGCATTCCCTTGCTAGTTCCAGAGCAGCTGGGAAACCAGGGTGGTTGACAGTTTTTGAGATGGATGGGTTATATAAAAACAAACAAAAATACTAGCTTCCGGCTTTGTGCTCAGACGTTCTTGAAGACATTGTCACACAGAAGCACATACAATGACTTCATAAACAAGCGTTATTGTTATTGGTCAATAGAGTCCAAATGTATACCGTACGTTAAATTTATACTGTCTACCGTATACACCACACAAAAGGGCCAACTGTAGTTTTACAATTATCCCAACATATAGTTTGTTTGTTACAAATATCCCCTATTCTTCTTCTTCCTCAGCATGAACGAGAGCAGGTGATGACGACAAATGTCTGGCTGACACAGGTGACCCTTCACTCTTAATTACACAAACATGCGCACTCACGTTCATTCTAATGAGGTGAAAACATTTGAACATCGCCAGCCAATATGTCTAACCACAGCTAAATGTCCACGTATTACAAGGTGGCATGTCTACAGACAACGACAACTACCCATTCATTCAGTGGCTCAAAATTAATAAATGTTTGAAAACTATCTTCTTCTTCTTCTTCTCCTTTCGGCACGTCTATATGTCTGACCACAGCTAAATGTCCACGCATTACAAGGTGGCATGTCTACAGACAACTACAACTACCCATTCATTCAGTGGCTTAAAATTAATAAATGTTTGAAAACTATCAATTCTTAAAAATTCTATGCAAAGCTAGTGAAATTTAAAGTTGATCCTTTAATGTACGTCTGGAGAGTCACTGCTTAAATCGTCGGTCTCCAAACTACGGATCGGGTTCAACCCTCCCTTGTAAAAGTAAACAGGACGACTGCACGTTCGTCAGGCTGACATCACGGCGAGCTCCTCCTGAACGCAACCCTCCCCATTTCTCCGGGCTTGGGACCGGCACTGGGGAACAGTGCACCCCCAGGGGAGGGCACTGCTCCCCAGCGGCTGGGGTAAATGTTTGAAAACTATCAATTCTTAAAAATTCGATGCAAAGCTAGTGAAATTTAAAGTTGATCCTTTAATGTACGTCTGGAGAGTCACTGCTTAAATCATCGGTCTCCAAACTACGGATCGGGCTCAACCCTCCCTTGTAAAAGTAAACAGGACGACCGCACGTTCGTCAGGCTGACATCACGGCGAGCTCCTCCTGATGATTTAAAGAAGGAGAGACAGAGTCTTTCCTCTCGCCTCTCGAGATGCCCTCACCGCGCTGATGTGTGACGTTGTGCGTGTGCTCTTGTTTTGAAAACCGGCTCTCAGGAGTGGCAGGACTATCGCCTGACTTGGGTCCCCGAGGAGTTTGACGGCATGATGAAGGTCAGGCTGCCCTCCAAACACATCTGGCTGCCTGACGTGGTGCTCTACAACAAGTGAGTGTTTAAAAAAAAAAAAAAAAAAATCAATTAATTAATTTAAAAAAAGGGAGGTCGGGCGGGGAAGAAACTCGTGCATGCATGCTCGCGCAGCACATGCTAAATGGCGGGCATTCATGCAGGGTAACCTCTCTACCTTAACTGCTCTCAAAGCACTTTACCACATTTGTCCATCCGCACGCACGCACGCAAATACACTGTCACACACAAGTGGATTCGCTGCATGGTGGTGGTGGGGCGCTGGGGGTGCGAGGGCGGTCTGCTCAGTTAGGTGCCAGCCTGCTCATCTGGAGCGATTAGTAGCTCAGGCACATGCGTGAAAACCCTTTGACACCACCTGTGCAAGCTCGAGCCTTGCATTTACAATAGCGCCCATTTGTTTGGGTATTTCTCCTTTCCTGGAAACAGAAATGATTGCATCCTCAAACTGTCACCACCATGAAACCTGTATTTGCCGTTTAATCGTTCCAGTCGAGTCAAAAGGAGAATTTTTGCCACTTGCGCTGCTGTCAGTGCCAGTCGAGGAGGACGCAGGAGTAGATGAAGTGGAGGGTGACGTGAGTGACCCTTTTGTCATGAATACGGGCGGCATGAAAGCGCTCAAAATGGTCAACTCAATGCTGATTACCGGTAATATCAGTCACAATAGAGGCATTGAGATAGTTTCGCGTGCGAGATAAAAATCCTCAGGGAGGATTTAAAGGGCTTTAACTCGGGGAAGAGGCTCATTTTTTCAAATTGATGAGAGACAATAATATTCAAATTCTTTGTGGTGCATTGGGGTCCGTCCCACTGTCGTGTCAAATGCTGTAAAGCAAACGACTTGCTTATTGGATGCCATGAGCGACCATTTTATGTCACTTTGTAAAACAAAAAATGTTTTTTTTAATGATTAAAAAACATCATAGAGCTGGGATCGGCTCCTGCACCCCCCGCGACCCTTGTGAGGATAAAGCGGATCGGAAAATGGATGGATGGACGCTTCAAAGAAACTCCCAGTTATTTCTCCCCTTTCTTTCCCCCTCTTTCAGTGCCGATGGCGTCTACGAGGTGTCGTTCTATTCCAATGCGGTGGTCTCCTATGACGGCAGCATCTTCTGGTTACCGCCGGCCATCTATAAGTCGGCCTGCAAGATCGAGGTCAAACATTTCCCCTTTGACCAGCAGAACTGCACGCTCCGCTTCCGCTCGTGGACCTACGATCGAACCGAGATCGACCTGGTGCTTCGCGCCGACGTCGCCAGCATGGACGACTTCACGCCGAGCGGCGAGTGGGACATCATCGCCCTGCCGGGTCGGCGGAACGAGAACCCCGCCGACCCGGCTTACGTGGACATCACATATGACTTCATCATCCGTCGCAAGCCCCTTTTTTACACCATCAACCTCATCATCCCGTGCGTGCTCATCACCTCGCTGGCCATTCTGGTCTTCTACCTGCCGTCCGACTGCGGCGAGAAGATGACGCTGTGCATTTCCGTGCTCCTGGCGCTCACCGTCTTCCTGCTGCTTATCTCCAAGATCGTGCCGCCCACGTCCCTGGATGTCCCCCTCGTGGGCAAGTACCTGATGTTCACCATGGTCTTGGTAACCTTTTCCATTGTCACCAGCGTGTGCGTGCTCAACGTGCACCACCGCTCGCCCACCACGCACACCATGCCCCCGTGGGTCAAGGTCGTCTTCCTCAACAAGCTACCCGCCTTGCTCTTCATGCGCCAGCCCAGGAATAGCTGCGAGAGGCAGCGGCTCCGCCAGAGACGGAGAGCCCAGGAGCAGAAGGAGGGCGGGGAGGCGGGGGGCCTGATGGTGGGGCTCGGCTTGGGCGGTGGCACGGGGACGGCGGGGGGGACTTCAACGGGAGCGTTTGCCAAGGTGGACGGTGACCCTTGCACCTGCTATGTGAACAGAGCGTCCGTCAAACAGTTTGGAGGGGATCTGGCAAGCACGGGAGGGGGTTCCACGGACGGTCTGAACAGAATGAGAGAGAACCGGGAGGGGGGTTCCGGGAACCGTGGCAAGCAAGCGGCGGGGGGTCAGGCTCTGACTCAGGCCATCCTGGCTCAAGCCTGTCCGGGCTTCGAGGAGGCTGTGGAAGGAGTGCGCTTCATCGCCAATCACATGAAGTGCGAGGATGATGACCAGAGTGTGAGTATCTTTTTTTTTTTTTTTTTACAGTCGGCACTTGAGAGGCATATTGATACTTGAAAATAGCAAGCAAGGTGACATTATCCACTCACTTGTCACAGCATTTTCACAGAACCGTGTTGATGATAAGATCCAATCCCAAAAGTCAAGCCAAGTTTTTAGAACGGCAATCAGTTCGACCTCCGTCGGGGGCCGAGCACTCTTAAAAATGCATTTGACTGAAAAATCAGGATTTGACAGGTGGTTACGCTTTGACTCGATTCCTGTTAAGGTGGCCGTGCTACACGTCACAAAAGTGGCTCTCGTCCCAATTTAGTGGCTCTCGTCCTAATTTGATCATTTCATTGATCGTTCTCTGGTTTTGCACCAAAATTGAAAACGTGGACAACCCTGAAGAAGGACCAGCAAGCAAAACATGGTTGATTAATGTGAAAGCAAAAACTGAAAAAAAACCAAATTTGCCTGTAAAATCGAACCCTGACCAACCATCGCAGCCGGTTGGTGGCAGTGATGCAAGTGACAGTGCGTACCAACAAACAAACGATATGGCCAAACACGATCAAACCGTCCAGTTGCATTACGTAGTGTGTGTGGTGCTTCCACTAATTTTCATAAGTTGCCCACCATCTGAAACTAGCTTGGTTGCAATTCAAAATGTGGCAAGTGAATCACGTTTCAACAGCACACGTGTGCGGCCAATTGAAAGGCTGGGTTTTATCGCATGCACTTTTCTTCTTTTCCTCTCGGCGCATCCTGTTCGGGGTCGCCGCAGCGTGTCATCCTTTTCCATCGAAATTGCTCTCCTCTCTAACACCAACTGCCCTCGTGTCTTCCCCTCACGACATCCATCAACCTCTTCGGTCTCGCTCTTGCTCTCTGTCCTGCCAGCTCCATACTCATCACCCTTCTACTGATATATGTACTCACAATTTTTCGTTCCTGCACTTTCTGGTTCCACCACCACAAGTCTTCTTTTCCCTTTTCATACCACAAGAGATTCCAAGTACTCTCCTGCCCGTCCGTCTCTTGGATCACCTTGGCAGCCCGGTAGCAGCTAGCTCCGCCCACCCACAGAGAGTCTGTCTCACCGCTTGTTGAAAGGCCGCACGGCTCTCTTGCCTTCTCAGCCGCCACAAATATATCCATCCACCCATCCATTTTCCGATCCGCTTATCCTCACAAGAGTCGCGGCGGGTGCTGGAGCCAATCCCGGATGTCTTCGGGCAGTAGGCGGGGGACACCCTGAACCGGTTGCCAGCCAATCGCAGGGCACACAGAAACGAACAACCATTCGCGCTCACACTCACACCTCGGGACAATTCGAAGTGTTCAATCAGCCTGCCATGCATGTTTTTGGAATGTGGGAGGAAACCGGAGTACCCGGGGAAAAGCCACACAGGCCCGGGGAGAACATGCAAACTCTACACAGGGAGGCCGGAGCTAGAATTGAACGCGGTACCTCTGCACTGTGTGGTCGACGCGCTAACCACTGGACCACCAGGCTGCACAAATATACCTTTTCTGTTTAAAAAAAAAAAAAAAACTGTTTGTGTGGATTGGTGGCTAAAAAGTGACGGGATATGGAGAATCTCTCGACTGCCGAAATGGATGAACGAATGGTGGCGTTTATGAATTGGCCAATCATCTCTCAAATAGCACCGTTGAGAAATTGTCAAAGGATGCGTGATCACCATCTTGAAACTAAATGTGCCTTAATCGTCATGAAAATATCCAGTAGGTGCAGTCTTTCGTCTCTTTTTGCCCTTCTCCTCTAGGGCTGTGAAAAAAACTGCTAAGTCGACCAGAAAAATTGGTCGACGCAAAAATATCTCCCTGTAAACTATAATGAATCATTTTAAAACCAAGTTTGCGCCGCCTGGATCCATTTTTGACCGAATGTTTACCGTACGGACGTTTGCTGCATACCAACGTACTCAGTCAATGGGCGAGGGTCACTCACTAATTCGCGGTCTAGTTCAAGCACGTCACTCGTGCGGCTGGTTTTAGTCTCAAGTCAAACCCACCCAACCAGGAAGCGGCCTGCTAACAATTTGGGCGGACAAAGAAACGTGAATAGTGAATAGTTTTCACCCTTGGTAACGCCGCAAACTTGGCGAAGGTCTGCTCTCCATTCAATGACATTCTACAGTCGCTATTATGAAAACACGGCTCTTGTTTTGAATATAATTAGACTAATACAAGCCTAAATCTTGCAGTGGAGCCAAAGCGAAAGAGACAGATACAAATCCGCAATCACGGTCTATTTGAGATTCAACAGTCATGAGATTATAGCACCGTGTCATGATGCGGGCACGCAGGAGTCAGAACCGATGAAAAGGGGACGACATTCACCAGAGTTTTACCTCAAGGCTTCTTCCAGACAACTTTCCCGGTTGCGTCTGTCATCCCTGTCGTTGCCATGCCAACGCCTGTCCTCCCACACTCCTCCTCCACCTCCTTCATCCGTCGTCCTCATCGGAGCGAAGGGTGTCGCTCGCACTCTCTCTCCGTCCTTTCATCGCTCTCGCTGCTCTCACGTGCTTTCCGTCTTCCTTGACTCCTGACGAGACCTCATCAGCGTCGTGCGGAGGAACGAGTCCCAGCTTGCATTAACCCCTCACCTCCATTAACCAGGCGCGTGTTGCACGGCGGAGGGATTGTGATGGAGAGAAAATGACAAGCCCGGGAAAACAGAATTCTGTTTATCTGTCGAGCCGCTTTCACGCAGAGATCCTGCGAAATTGGCGGCATGCGAGCCGTAACAGAAATTCCGGAATTGAGCCGCCTGTGCCTTTTAGAAGCCAACATTCTGACTATTTGTCACAGCCATTTTCCTGTCTCACATTTGTGTGTGAAAAGTGCCAATGCGGAATTGGAAGGGCAAAGGCGATCCGAGTTTGCAGTTTTGGAGGTAGTATCTGAGCCCTAAATTCCTGGGTGTACTTTTAATGCTGTTTTTACAAAACAGCGACACATAAATTCTGACTCTACCTTCAACGGTGGGTCAAATTTGTAACCCTCATTCCATGTCAGTGCTATTTGTAATGATCGACATGGAAAAAAAACCTGCGGTTTTTGCAGTCGGTGTTAAAAGGGCTTCTGAGCCTTCCTCTGAAGGCGGAAAATTACTGGGTGAACTTTGTCCCTCCAGTTCGGTCCCATTTATACAGAGCAGCTGCAGAGGAAAAAAGTTGTGAACATGTCAGCTTCAACAGGCGGCGTGAAATACACTTCTGATACTGGCCTCTGAAGGCGCAAAATTGTCCGATCGTATGATTTTACAGGCAGTGTTAAAAATGCTTTTGATGCTACCTCCAAAAGGTGGAAAAATGCTGGGTCGACTTTGTCGCCCCGTTCTCCAGCGGTGTCGTTTATCCAAGACAGCCACACAGGAAAAAGACAGAAAAATGACATCTTTTACAAACCAGGCAGTATTGAAGAGGTTTCTAAATTTGGAAATTACCGCAAATGACGGAAAATTGCCAGGTTGACATCACACCTTCTATTGTGTCAGTGCTGTTGAGTCAGTGGTGGCACTGGCAAAGTCAGGAAAATGTCACCTTTAAAGGGAGTTTGAAAGAGGCTTCCGATATGACCTCGGAAGGCGGAAAAGTGCGAGGTCGACTTTGTCCCCCTTATTCCATGCGGTTATTTTTTCAAAACAGCTTCAGAGGAAAAAGCTGGGAAAAGGTCAAAGAAGCTTCTGATACTACCTTTTAAAAACAGAACATTTATGTGATGACTTCGTTGGGTGCCGTTGACAGCAACGTGAAAATTCTGGAACATGTCGGCTTTTAACTCTTTCATTCCACAAGATGTACTTGTACGTCTTTTTAAAATTAGGCCCCGCCTACCAAGTACTTGTCTAAGTCTTTTTTTATTTATTTTTTTTGCGTCATAGAGAGGAAGTGGGTCTGATGCAATCTGTGAATGATCATAAGACGTTTGCATTGTAAATCATGTCAAAAAGCGACCAGTAGGTGGCAGTGGTGCCTTACGTGCTTGAAATGCATGCTTTTACAAAAAAGCTCTTTTTCTCCGTTTTTTTGCCCAGGAATCGCCATTTTCATGAAATTTAGCCATTCTGTAATGCTGATTGCTGAAGAATGAAAAAAGATTGAAACACATTTTTTTTTCTGCTGAAAGAAGAGAGTCTAAACTTTATTTTGGTAGGATCCATGTTTATATAGCATTAGAACCAAATATTCTGTGGGCCGATCAGTCAAAATCCAGTAAAACGCTGGGATTGAGGGGGTTGCTCCAGTGAAAATGGCTGGGATTGAATGAGTTAAGGGCAGAAGCTTCCATTATTACCCCCAAAGGCCGAAAACTGACATGTTGACTTTGTCCCTCTGTTTTTTGCGCCGTTTATACACAATGAGCTTCAAAGGGAAAAAGCTGAGAAAATGTCGGCTTTGACTCGCAACGTGAACTGATCCTACTTGTACCTTCGAAGGCAGAAAATTCCCAGGCCGACTTGGCTTTCGTCCTCTTTTGTCCGCAGGTGAGCGAGGACTGGAAGTATGTCGCCATGGTGATCGATCGCCTCTTCCTGTGGATCTTTGTGTTCGTGTGCGTGTTCGGCACCTTGGGTATGTTCCTGCAGCCCCTCTTCCAGAACTACACAGCCAAGACCATCCACATGCCGGGCTGACCGTCCACACGCTACCATCACGCTGACGGGACAGCTCCCCGCCGCCCCGTAAAGTGGGAGTGGGGGTCTTACCGGATCTGAGGGACAGGATGTGAACACACCAGTTTTGGCCCCGTTATAGATTTTTTTTTTTTTTTTTTTTTTGGGGACAGTGACCTTGAATGCACGAAGCAGATCTGTCAAGTCCACGCCGTCAGGTCACAAGGGGGAAGGAGATCCGAGCATATCACGGCTTGCCCATTTCGAATTTGACCACCATGAAATGACATTGTATGTTCTTATCAGTGCACGACAGATGAACTCATGCGACCGATAGGCTCGAACGAATGTGAAAGAAGAAGATCGAGAGAAGATGACGCTGCGAGGGATGTGACGGGAACCTGACAACCGGAAAGCCACACCTCCTCATTATTGGCGATGGACATTTCAGAAAGGACAATGGGGAGCAAATGGGCTTGAATGATTAACAAAAGGAGCGTGAACATGGAAACGGGAGCTCATTTGGTGTGTCTACAGATCATATAGAAGTCAAGTCCACCAATGTTGATTTCCCATCATCGAAGTGGCCATGTCAGAACCCTTTTCTCCATTTGCTTCGGTCTCATTTTCTTTCCCGACACTTTTTCCTCAGCTTCCTTGCCTCGTTCGTTGTTCCTCGTCCTTTGTTTCCTTTTCCGGCCATGCCTCTTTTCCTCACTTTTCCTTGGTTTCCATTCCTTTTCTTTCCTTGACTCGTTTCCTCACTCTTATTACCGAGGCTTTCATTCCTTTTCTGATCTTTGCCTTATTGTCCTTTGTCCTCTTGCTGATGTCTCTCTTTCCTTGACGTGTTTTCCTTCTCTTACCTTCTGTTCGTTTGGTTAAATTACCTTTCCTCCCTTTTCCCCCATCGGTCTCCTTTCCTTCATTTTACCATCTTGCCTCTTTTCCTGGACCCCCAAACTACCCCCCCCCCGACTACTTTTCTTTGTCACCAACTTCATCTCCTTGCCTCTTTATTTGTCTTTTTTTTAACCTCTCTTTTCCTTGCCGTACATTCCTTCTGAGATTTTTCCTTCCCTTCCTTCGGTGTTCCCTCATCTACTTCCTTTCTTTGCCTCACTTTTTTTCCTTGCCTACTTTTCCTGTGCCTTATTTCTTTTCCTTCATCTCCTCGCCTCTTCTCCAACCCCCTCTCTCTTCGCTAGCTGCATATTTTCATCTTTTCTGGCCCTTCCACTCCTTTTCATCAGATGCTTCTTCTTCGTGCCGGACTTATCTTGCTCGTTCCTCGCACGTCTTTTCTTTTTGTTTCCTGATGTGTCCACACCTCCCTTTCCTCTGCATTCCTCCCCTTCCTCCTTCTCCTCTTCATTGTATGTAAGCGCACTCGCATTCCAATACCGTTCAATCCCAAATGCTAAGCATCTAATTGATATCGTCTCTCCAAACACATCCCTTCTTGTTGGATTTTTCAAACGGGAAAGAAAAACAGTTCATGCAAGTGACTGCTGGAGATCCACATCGACCGCACGTCCTGCGGCAGACGAGCGGGAGGCTTTTTTTTTTTTTTTTTCCAGGGTACATGCTGTAGGGGAGGAAGTGCAGCTGAATGAATTTTTCAATAAACAAGAGGGACATGACAAGAGGATCAACTCTGGCGAATGAGTCACAGCAGCTTAAAAGATTCACAAACAAGAAGCCGAAAAGAGGCCAAATGACACCGAATTATATACATTACATAGCTACATTATAATGGTGTGATGTCGGCCCCTAGCAAGAGCACAAGTCAGCTTTTCACAGAAGGATTGTATCGCTGAAATGAGGAGGCGGGGGGGGGGGGGTCACTAAATCTAATGAAGATGTGAGAGTTTTGACTTTCACGCTACTCTGGATGATGGGCCAATTGGAGACGATCCCCGAAGCCATGGAGGAGTCTCTTTATGACCTGTCCACTCTCTTTCCTTTTCTTCTCACTGATGCTCCCATAATGAAGCCTTCAAGCCCCACCCCCCTTCACCTTCCCAGGTCCTGCATACCCCCCACCCCAACAATGGCAGTTTAATAAAGGTTGTAGGTTCAGATTATTTCAACCACGTGTCTCTGTGGCGTGTTTGTACGCTCGACGTCACACACGCGTGCCACATGCAAGTCAACTCACCCGTTGTTCGTATATAAGCAGCTTTGTCCATCGTTCAGCCTATTTTGTGAAGGGCTTTTCCTCATAAGGGTTCGCGAATGAGCTGGAGCCTATTTTTGGTGATTTTGGGGCCAGAAGCGGAGTACAGTACACCCTGTACAGGGCACACGCCAATCACAATATAGCCGCTTTTCCAACTTTTAAAGTGAGTCTTTTACTTGCAAATACCGTATTTTCCGCACTATAAGGCATACCTAAAAGCATGCCATTTTCTCAAAAGCCGACGGTGCGCTTTATAATCCAATGCGCCTTATATAAGGATTAATATTCTTATTTCTTGGACGTAGTATTTTTACTGTTCTGTGAAGCACTTTGTGACAACTGCAGCGGTTGTGAAGGCGCGATACAAATAAAGCTGTTTTGTATTGTATTCCTTAGTGTAGCTCCATCTAGTGGATGCATAATGTCAGTACAGCCACTATTGTAGCTTTGATTTTATGCGCCTTATAAGTGGTGCACCCTCAATATGAAAACAGTTTTAAAACGGGCCATTCATTGAAGGTGCGCCTTTTACTCCGAAGCACCTTATACTGTGGGAAATACGGTGTGTGTGTGTGCATGCATGTATACGCACACACACACACACACACACACACACACACACACACACACACACACACACACGCACACACACACACACACACACGCATCTATACATACTGTATATAGCCTACCTTTTGCAAAGATGTTCTCAATAAGTCGCTCAGCCATCTACTGAGGCGCCGTTGTATGGTCACTTTGCTCTCCCCTAGTTCTGGTCCAGGCTGAGTCTCGCTGCACATGTAACTAAAAGATTTTTAAAAAGTTTTGGCAACAGATTAATACCATAAAAGACTAGAAGGGGATTGTGTTTGTGTGGGTGGACACATTAAGATTTTAAGAACAAAAGCAGCAGAGCATAATACTGTTTTTCGCTTTGCAGTCAGGGTGCCTCAGGCTCAAGACAAAACATTGGCAAAAACAAGCAAATAAAAATCTGCAGTCATTGAAGAATAGTTGGGATACACTTGATCTTTTTCTTCCAAAGTGAATGATAGTAGCAGGTTCAACCACTGTTTCTTTATTTTTGACATAATTGATGCATTTGTATCATTTCTATGTTGAAGAACAACACCAGAAATAGCAGGTAAACTTCCGTGAAACCAACCTGAGGAGATGTTAATTGCACTTGATTCAAATGAAGTGTGAATGTGTTTTTGTTGTTTGTTGAAAATATCCATAATTTAGTTTACCTCCTAATGTTTGGCTAAAAAAAAAAAAAAAATTACTGAATTGATTTCAAGCCATTGAACTGTTTCAGATTGGATGGTCCTCAATGAACCAATATCGGCCATTAATCGAATTGGCACCCGTGAATCGTGGTAGGAATCAAATTGTTGTTTAAATGAATTATTACACCCCTATTAAAATGATCAATTGAAAAAAAAATCTAATTACATAACAAACTGTGTCAAGAATCAAATTACTCGTCAATTTGTATCTTGATGTTTTTTTTACATCCCAATTAATTGGCTATCATTGTGTTTCAAGTCACAAACGCAGATCCATGGTGAAGCTCAATTTGGTGTTAACCACACACAGAAGCGCTTGACATTATAATTATTGAACAGTTGGAATAATTATCCTTGTCAGCTCCGACCATTTTCCAAGCAGATCAGGCAAAAAAAAAAGTCTCTTAACACACCTCACACCACAGAATAATCACTCAGGCAAGTCTTTAAGTGGAATCCAGCGAACAAACCTTTGCTAACGGATTTTAAGGGTGGAAAAAAGTATTTGTAACCAGCTGTCAAAGGAAACGAATTAATGAAACCAATGGAAACTGTTGCTGACCTTTTTATTGCAACCTAATTGTTCTGATTTACAAATCTTGGATCATAAAGAGCTGAAAGATGCGCAGCATTTATGTGAGTTTACAACAATGCGTTTCCACATTTCATGAGTCCTCACTGTATCGTTATTATTATTATTTTTTTTTACATCATGGGGAAAAAAGGCTCTTCTAATAGAGGAATGCGCTAAATCTTGCTACTGTACACTGGAGTCTTTTGTGAGGTTTTCCCGACATTCCCCATTAATCCTCTGCCACAGGATAGAAAGACAGAAAGAATCATTTCCTGGCTTTCTAATATTGAGGCTGCTTCTGCTTCCCTTTTCATACTTACACACTCACACATGTTGGGTTTTTTTTTCCACTGCGGGAATGTTAAGCACTCGTGGCCCTTAAGGCACAACCAAGATTTCACGGACGTTGTGGCGCTTTGATGCAGCAAAAGTTTATTTACTCGTCCAATCCTGAAAAAGTTTGACTACGCGATCTCTTGCCACCGAACGAGAAAATGCGGTGTCCTCAATCAACTCGTTCCGCGGCAACTTACTGCCACCTGGCGGCCATTTCGTGTCAGCACATAACCACGAAAGGACGCTTTTGATCAAAGATCACATTTATTCTTTCCAGGGGGAATTCCAAAGTGTTCTAAAATGCATGAACAGAAATAGGAGACCGATGTAAATGTGAATTTAAAGAGACAGTGCAGACACAAAAGGACAACACTCTCCCCTCAAATTAGGCATGTACAGTATGTTTGTGTATATGTTGTGTGGGTTTTTCCTCCCTTGGATGGGAGCACGTCGAGACGGCGTTTACTTCTTCTTTGCCGGCTTTTCGTTGAACTCCAGGAAGAAGTCATTGCAGGCCACAGTGAGGGCGCCCACCAGGATGATAAATTCGGTAAAATCCACCTCGCCATCCCCGTTGGAATCCAGTTCCCGCATGACCTTATCCACCGCCTCCTTATCTTTGGCGTGCTGCATAGAAGAGTACGTCTATCTTTTTAAACCCAAATCCATTTTAAATAAAATATAAGGAATTAATGAAAATATGGAAAAAAAGAAAAGGGAAAGGAGAAAAAGAAAAACAAAAAAAGGGAATGATGAGAAGAAACAGAAATAAAATAAAAAAAGAAAAGAACAAAGACAGAAAAGAGGAAAAAGAAAATATAGCCAAAAAAAAAAAAAATTTCAACCGTGCCCATCAAGGGTGTTGAGCGTCCACTTCCTTACCCCGAGGTATTGGCCCAGTTCGGTGGTGAGCATCTCCTTGAGCTCGGCCTTGCTCAGCGTGTATTTGTCACCCTCGTTGCCGGAATACTTGTGGAAGGTCTGGATCATGAGCTGCATGGCGTTCTCCAGGGTGGACGCGTTCTCGGGGTCGGGCAAAGACATGCTGCTGTGAGTGGACACACGGCACACACACACACGCCAGCCAACATAGAAAGCAGAACGTGCCCCATTAGAGTGGCGCCGCAGGGCAGGTCAAGTGCCATTAACAAGGAGAGGGAGAACCCTGAAAGCGTTGCGGTGTCAACTTTGCTCTATTTGCTCATCGCCAGCGTTTCTTCCGTCGGTAGGATTCCGCTACACATCATCTGATGCCACGCTTTGGACCTCTGGCAGTCAGCCGGACATGTGAGCCGGCTGATAAGGCCTGAAACCCAAAGCGGCTTGTGCAACCTGTGAACCAGGATAGAGCGAGTGACTGAAATGCTGTCAAATAATTTCCAAATGTAAGAAATTATTTGACAGCATTTCAGTCACTCGCACTATCCTGGTTCACATTTCCTCATTCATTTTGGAGCTTGTTCAGGGACTTGTGGACTTTTTGGCAATGTTGAACATTTGGAAATTGGGATCATTTTGAATCTGAAAGGTGACATTCAAAAAAAAAAGTATTCTATTCTTTTGTGAATTTTTTTTATGGAAATTGTGGACCTCAATGAAATTCAGAAGTTTTAAAATGATCTTTTGAAGTCGGTTCGAATTGTTTGAAGAAATGGTCATTTAAAAAAAATGAGCTCAATTCAAATTGAACACTGAAATGATCTAAATTGCTTGGAAAATGGGAGTATTTGGGGAATTTTTATTTTTTTTAATTTCTCATTTCATTTGGTCATTCTCAGTGAAATTGTGGACTTCTTGTAATGTGGAACTTTTTGAAATCATTGAACCAGTCCAATAATTGTGACTTTGGGGTGATTTAAATATATATGATATATTTCTCCATTTGTTTGGGAATTTTCTCGAGTAAAGATGGAATTTTGAAAAAGTAGGAATTCTTTGAATGTTTTTAAAAATTATAATTAATGCATCGGTTACAAAGCAAATATGGGAAATATTCCTCCTTCGGAGTAAAAGGCGCACCTTCAAATATTACTCCTGTATTAATTTAGGAATTTTCTCACCCCCCCCAAAAAAAAAATGAAATTTATTATTTTTTTTTAAAGCAACAATGGTGAACATTTTAAAGTTGAATGAGTTGAACGGGTTAAGAATTGATGAAATATGAGGTGAATTTGTTCTTCATTCATTTGAATGGTGTTGCTCACCAAAAGTGATTTCAGGGAATATGCTCGTCCACAGCATCTCTTGAACGAGCTGGATATTTTTGACGTTGAAATAGTTTGAATTGGTTGAGAAATACAGAGGTACAAATAAGTCCGAATCAAGAATACTAAATGTTAAGGATTTTGGTGACAACTATTTGTGAGTGCTTCACACGGTAACTAGCCCTTAAAATGCTCAAACTTTTCCAACACTCCCTATCGTTAGAAATCGATCAGTGTTTTCTCCAATTAGGAATAAATCCTCCTCTCAGCAAAGTGAACCTCATCCTTACCTGACTGGATGACGAAGGCCGGCCGGACGCTCAGGTGTACGCGGAGAGCGAAGTGGAAAAAGCAACTGGTGAGCAGGACGAGCAGGACCCCGTCTTAAATACGGCCCTCACTCGACCCATCCTCCTTCCATATGTCACTCCTCTCCCTCCTCCTTTGTTCAGACACCTGCTACCTGTCTATTGGACACACTGAAGATGTTACATTCAACTCAACATGACCTAACGCAGACAAAATAGGGCCTGTGGCTACACCCATGTATTAGGCTAATCGAAGAAGCTAAATAGATTCCCGGCCAAATTTCTTGGAGGTTGTTTCACAAGCTCCAGGCTGACCAAGAACGTGCAAGACTTCTGAATCTGTCTTCCGAGGTGTTCCCACTTCCACGCAGGAACGCAACTAAAATTCAAAACTTGTACATCAGAATTTGTGAGGTGGACACGCTAACGGTAGCATGCTAGCGCGTTCAAGTCTGGCAGTGAAGGAGCTGTTGATGGACTCTACAGGGTCGTGCCTTGGGTGGGAAGTCTTGTCTATGATGTATATTAGCTTGGCAAACATCTTTCCGTCTGCCACCTTCTCAATGGTGTCCATTTGCTAGTTTGTCTGTTCTGCCTCCTCCCCAGCGCACTTTGATACAAAACGATGCCAAGGCCACCACAGTGTCAGAAAAGGCCCTGAGCAAGGCTCTTCTCATGTCAAAGGACGTCAGTCTCCTCAACAAGTGGGTGTGAATCTGGCATTTCTTGTACACAGTGTTTGTGTTGCCTGTCCAGGCCAGTGTATTATTTAGGTGTGCACCAAGGTACCTAAATGAGTCCACTGCCTCAATGTGCGTGGGGTGAAGATTTCGTATGGAAATCAATCCATTTTTTTGGTCTTTGGGGAAATTGGAGCAATTCATATCCTTTTCCAGACCTTTATGACCTTGTGTAGTTTTGATTTTAGAGTGTCATTATTTATGGCAGGACATCAAACTGTCATGCTCTGCCCACACAGAATCATAAAAACTTAAATTATTTGCAATTTTGTGTCAACAATCTGTCTACGGCTGGATTTACACGACAGATCCAAATATCCAATTCTAAATTTAATACCCAAAAGGTACGTTAAATTGTTTCTGGTCTATGTCCACGTACATTTCAAGTGGCACATATGCAATATATAGATTTAGCAATCACAGTCGACATGAAACAACCTGAATCCCCAGATGCCCAAATTGCACATAACTCACAAGCATCACAGCAGTGATGGAAGTAAACAATCACACATAATGTGCATAATAAAAATATTAGAGTTTACATAGCTTTTAGTTAGCCTGGGGTAACCTCAGCATTACTCCATTATACCTCATTTGCAATCATTTGCTTATTAAACGATGGACAGACCTTAGACATCGTATATTCAAACCACATTCAATGTGGTTTAGATTTTTCAATCTATTTGTTATTTTGGTAGATGTGGGTGCGTGTATGTATAAATCACCTAATCTGGTTATTGTGATGATGCCCCTTAGTGTTTAAGATTGACTTGCTTAGTGATACATTGTAAGAACGCCGTGCTCTCTGTTGTTACTTTGTATTTTTGTGTGTGAAGACTCTCTGTTTTTCCATTTGGGCGTCCTGTCTGCATCTGGATCCAAATTGTGCTCCGCACGTGACCGTCTCGCTGGCATAAATGGGGTAGATCTATCTGTCTCAACACTAACCTCGGAGCACCTGGGAGCAAAGAAAATCATGCCGTTTGAACCACACAGTCGAAATCTAGCCTAGTATGAGTGATTCAAATTTGGTAGCAATCTGACAACATTTCTAGGGAGAGTTCGTATTTGAAAGACTGCTCGAAATACACAAAATGACCCTAAAATGTCCACTTCAATCCAATTCCGCAGACGGCATGTGTGCTTTTTTACGTGAGTCTACTGATGACAGACATGTCTACCAAATGCTTGTATGCTATATGAAACTGGCTATGTTGGTTGTAAATCAATCAATCAATCAATCAATCAATAAAATATATGTATAGATAGATACACACACACACAAATTTGTGACGGTGGTGTAATTCAGTTGTAGCCTGAACATGTTTACACATGCCAGAGTAAATGTGCGAAAGGTGATAAATGTTGCAATCCAAATAATGTGCCACATTACTTTGATGGGCTTTGTTCACTGTACCGACTGCATTGCAACAAACCGGTGGGTGCGGCATGACTTGTACACTGCTCCAAATACACGGCATTTACACGTCAACCTGACTATTGTGCAATGTGTGAGGGATGTATGAATGATTAGCTCAGTGTGTGTGATATATATATATATATATAACCAACATGGGGGAGGCAGGAGAGAAGCCTGGCGGGTCACTGTTAAGTGGTCAGATATCTTAGATGTGAAAGGAAAACAGTCGGAAAGAGGAGGGGGAAAAAAATACCCCAATAGACTCCAACCATATCTGATGCTTCAAGGGATATCACACATTGACATCGATTAGTTTTGTTTGCCCGTCTATGGCGTTTTGCATCATGTGCATTAAAGAATTGGTCGCCATTTGCCACCATCCATCATTCATAATTTATATTTTTGCACACAACTCAAGATGAAGAGGCAGCTTATATTGTATCTCAGAGAAAAAAAAAAACAAACAAACAAAACCGTCAACCAGGTCACACGCAGCAAGGACAGGTGGTCTAAAATGGTTTTCCGCACTTTATGCTTAAATGTGCCGTCATCGCATGTCTTGCCATGCGAGACATGTTAGCACATTGGGTGCGTGTGTTGGTATAGTGTTGCAGAGCGGAGGGTGAAGCACAATGGGGCTCATTTCTTATGTGCTAGGATCTCGTTGCAGTACTTGACGCTCATCAGGGAAACCGCACAAAGCTAATTTTAGAAGCACGTCGGGGGGACCCGCCGCGAGCGCATTTTCGCCACACAAATGACGCCACACATCAACAATTCGGTGTCGGTAAAAAGCTTTAATTGCATTCTTGACATGGGAGTTCTTCAATGTTTTCTTGAGATCAACATGGAGGGAGCTTTGAATACACGATGGACGCAAGCAGGTTAAAAGGAGGATGAGATCGATACAAAAGGTTGGCTAACTGTGTGCGGTGGAAGAAAAAGAAGCACGGCCCCAAATGTGTCTCCGTCCGTCTATGACGCCGCCGCGTTGGATGGGTGCTTGCTCTCGCTGACCGCCTTGGCGATGTAGCCAATCAGAGTGAGGTATTCCTGAAAGCTGACCTTTCCGTCCTTGTTCTCATCCAGGCCGTTCTGCATTTCCTTGACGGCTGCCGAGCTGTTGGCATCCTACGATAAATCGCGAGATGCGTTTGAGGTGGAAAAGAAACATTTGAAGATAATTGCTAAAAGTGTGCAAAGACCGATAAGAAGTTTCAAATTTCTCCCTTTTTGGGGGTGGGAGGGCGTGGCTAAAACCGCGCCACGTGACACAGTTTGGATTCCAGCATGCCTCGCCTCTCTCCCATGATGTCAAAACTTTAGCATCTTCGTTCGCGCAATCACGACGTGTAGTTAGCTAATTCTTCCACCCCGAAAGTGCAGGGAGAATAGTCGGGGATGGAAATGTCAGCGCTTTGCTTGAGGAGTGAACGTTTTTACCTCCATGACGCTTCCGAGGTGCTTCTTTACCATCTTCTGGAAGGATTTCCCATCCATGTTCTCCTTGCCTCTGGTAGAACTAAGAAATGTGGTCACCAATGTCTGGATGGCTGACTCCATGTCTACGGAAACAAGAAATCACATGAGTTCGAAGAAATATCATAGCATTGCTATTTTATGACATGCACCGTTGTAAATGCAAAGCGACATCCGGTAATGTGCATTATCATGTGATTCATTCTTAAGGTTTTTTTTTCCCCCCTTAAGGCAGCGGTGTCACACTCATTTTTGTCACGGGCCACATTGTAGTTACGGTTTCCCTTGGAGGGCCGTTATAAATTTTGGGAAACCATAGAAATGTTTAATCACTTCCAGATATTACATACAGAGTGCACAACAAATTGATGGATAACTAGTTTTAAAATCAGAAGTCAAGAATAATGACTGTTATTGTGGATTACATATGACAATTTGACATTTTGGTTCAGACTTTAGCAAGCATCATGGAACTAGACATGTTTGATTTGCTTTTGCGGGCCACATAAAATGATGCGGTGGGCCAGATCTGGCCCCCGGGCCTTGAGTTTGACACCTGTGCCTTAAGGTTTCATCACCTCAGAGATTTTACAGCTGCTACGACTAAACGCCATGGAAACGTCATGGATAACGCGGAGTTCGGCCACGAGATTTTATGTCTTGTGGATACAATTTATGGACAGTTTTGTGCGCAACACATCATACAGGTCATTGTATATATTTATTTGTATTTGCTTTTATTTTGCCTTTTTTTTTTTAACCCTACTGTCTGTAACCAGGTTGGTCGGCATTATAAAAGTGAATTGTTGTCAAATGATTTCCCTGGAGAAGTAAAGGTTGAATGAAAAACAAACAAAAAAAACAATCTAAGTAGTAGTATGGCAACTTTGTTCACAAGATGAGTGGCAAAATATAACACAGCTTTGAAGAGTAGACTACCATTTGCGTTCATGCTACAAAACCACAAGGTTGTCCAGGATGGTCCAATGTTACGGACAACAAAAGAAGGTGATCTAGTGCTTCGAGATATGATTCCTATTCTTAAAATCCTGTTTTATGATCCAAATGAGTTTGGCTCTTATTTTTGTCTGAGTACTACATAGCGTCGCTTTATTAACTGCTGTGGTACACGAAAACAGCCAGCAATTAGACAGCGACGATTTAGAGACCAAGTAGACCGTTCTCAAAAATAACAGTGCTGATGCTAAATGCAACATGATGTGTCCAGGCTGCTCCGCCAGTATTACAGACTACCAAAGAAATGATCAGTGTGCTCTAACATGAAGACAGAAATACTCTCGTTATTAATACAACACTCAGCCGGAGTCCATTTTCTACATGACATTGTTTCGTCAGTATGAAAGGTGATCCAAACTGTTGATGTCAGCATTTGCGAGGAGAGGGGAGTGCCAGGTCAGTGAGAGAGCGAGCGGTGAACAAGTTGGAAGAAGAGGAGGAGAGGAACACAATGGGGGCCGTGATCTCTGACGCAGGACATCTGATCTCCAGGATGCCTTTGGGGCGCATCTGGCTCAAATTACCCGCTGCTGTCCGCTATGACACTCCACCCAAGCGGGACACTTGAATGCTCAAGTAAAGGAGGAAAACTTGCATTCGGAAGATCAATCAAGAGCCAAAAGGTTCACCTGCTAGAATCTAAAGGCCTCGATGAGGTACGGATTAGCTATCGTTGTGAACTCAATGGCTGTTTATCTCATTGAATCCCCTTTTAGATGGAAATATCTGGAAAGCAAAATGGTGGGCAACAAAGCCTTAAAAATGTTAAATAAATAAAAATAAAATACAAAAGAATGCTGAAGTGAAACATCTCTACTGGAGAGGAGCTAAATTTAGCTTGGGGTGTGAGTGAAAGTTACAGATGGTCTTGGCCTACACACGAACTTCCAGTGCATTTATTTCAAAATTCAAATCATCTGTAAGCTATTAAGCGTAAAGTTGTAAGACGATTGTCATTACCAAACGTTAATAACTGTAAGTAAATTTTTAGCTAGCTAGCAGATAACGGAAACCAATTGAACTGCTGCGGTTTATTTACATTTGGCACAGTCACTTGTTGCTAGGCAGAATGTGCACACCCGATTTCGCACAAGTCACGCCCACAAGCTGCAAACGTGGTGGGCTGCGCTGCCTCGCGCACCAGAGAAGGGGCAGTCACACACACTATGAGCAATAGTCATTCATCTTCTGTAGCGCCTGTTCTCGAGCCAATCCCAGCTGACTTTGGACATGAGATAGAATACTCTTCAGTTAATCATAGGAGACATCCAAATAAAACACCCATGAAGACTTTAGAGTCTTCAATAAACCTAACATGCATTTTTGGGGGAATGTGGAGGAAGCCAGAGTACCATGAGAAAACCCACGCAGGGCCAGGGAGAATAAGCAAATTCATTTACAGAGACTCAAACCCAGAACCTCTCAACCGCAAACCACTATTTCACTTCTGGTGAACAGACGAAAAGATACCGTACGTAATGCCATTTTGCTCCACTTTGTGTGTTCCGATTACATAATTTCCTGTTTATAGCCACTGAATATTTTCCTCCATTATAGTGACTAGATGTTGTGTAATAGAAGTGTGAAATGCTATTAAAATTATTTGGAGCAGAGCTCCCGGGGTGTTGTGTAACAAATACAAACAAAACAAAGCTAAGCAGAAGATTATTATTATAATTATTATGAGGAGCCTGCTTATTGGCTCCTTCAAATCCTAAAATGGCTGAACAATCCTAAACCTGTCTGACTCAATAACAATGGGGAAAATTTTCTATATCACACCTCGATAAGATTCCGACTATTCCCTCCAGTCCCGTGGGTGGCAGTAATGCACATTGCAAAGTGGATGCTAGCTGCCACACACAAGTCCCCCCCGCCACCCAGCCTTTCTGATGCAAGCAGACTGTAACAGCAAAACATTCACATCAAGTTCTTCATCTACGCGAACATGTAATGCGGTCTTCCTTGGCCCATAAGTCAGTGCTCTGCTGTGATAGACATATGAAGAACGTTTTATGGGCATATAGCCGTTAATTTTTTTGGACCGTTCTGGGCCCTTGTTTCCACGCCGGTGCTGGATGGAGCAGAATATTGCTGCCTGAGCAGAGGTATTCGTGGACGCAGCTTGACTTCCCACAGCTAACGTCCTGTTAGAACGAGAGCTGTCCCGATCCGATCATGTGACCGGAAATCGGGGCCGATCATGTGATTTTTCTGATGCTTGGTCATGGCTGAAAAAGGTCGGATTTTTGTATTTGCTTAATTTCTAAAATGAACAAAATATTTCTTCACTTGATTTGAACCACTTCTGACTTAAAGCCATATAAAGTTAATAATGTTAGGATACACTGAAGATATATTATTATTTTTTTAATTGGATGGACTTTTTTTTTCCTTCCTAACTCATTGCCGAGATATCGGCTCAAGACTCCCCTGATACTTGAAGACAAACGACTCAGACTTGTGTGCAAAAGAACGTGATCTACTTGAAACGTATCCTCCGCTTTCATAACTGTGAAGCATTTGAAAGCATCTCCTGTTTAAAAGCAGCTGCCACGGATTCGACTTGGAGCCACCCATGTGGAGCTGATCATTATCCCTGCGGTGCGGTGGAGGCCTCGCTGCAAGATTTCCATAGACGAAAGGCTGACTGACTGATTGACTCGGAAACGACAGTCAGGAAACAGGCTAGCCAATGACGACGACTGCCTGCTGGGAGCCATCTTGTTGTTGGTTTTGTTGCCTAGGGAACGGCAGATAAATCTTCCATGTGACACAGATGTCATAGCACAATGCTTACACTAAGCATACACAATGGTCCACACCCAAAGGGAGACAGACACACACACACACACAGACAGACATATCCAAAGCAGGAACAATTAGGACGTAACTTGCATTAACCTAATTAGTGAGTGAGTGAGTGAGGCCCAACACATCAGGATTGTGTTACACGGAGGCCCTACTGCACGGCCAGGCACACAAGCACACTTCCCCCCAAAAAAAACCACCACCACCCCCCCCCCCCCCCCCCCGACATTCTAGTGAGCATCTGTCATCCGCTTGCTAATCATCGTTTTTTTTTTTAATTATTTAACAGTGTGCTATAATCGTCCCAACACCTTTGGAACAACAGCGTGGCAGCACGCATGCTCGTGTTCGTGGGCCATACATTCACGGCACTGACAGGCCGCCACCCATTAGCGGGCACTCCAAGTGTAATGAGATAGAACAAGAAAACTAACAAAGAGGGAGAGAAACGTTATGGATTGGGGGCGGGGTAAGAAGGGAAGTAGTACACTAGCAAAGTTGAATAAAAGCACGGGGCAGCCTGCTTGTGTGCACATTAGCACGTGGTTTGCCCTCAAGCGTGACTCACAGGGCTTGAGCAAGGCCCAGTTTATACTGTGGTCTGACTCGCACTTGGAATTCGATGCAATAAAAAGCTGCTGGATGCCAGAGAAAGGAGAGGAAAACGATCACAAAATGTGAAGCGTCCTTCCAAAATTTGGGCTGACTTAGAAATGTTATTTTTGAATGAAAAGTGCAGGGTTGTTTTTTTTTCCCAATAAAAGATCAGATTAATCAGATATACAGTTTAGACATTGTTAATGTAAAAAACAAACAAACAAAAAAAACATTCTGAGTGACCGTCATACTTTCGAACAGTAGTGTGTTTTACATATCGAGTAGGAATCTCAAAATTTAAAAGTCCCTCAAAGTGACTAAATCACGAAACCTCAGTTAAGGGAGCATCGTACGCTTTAAGTCAATGAACGTGTTGCTTTTCCTTTGGCTTTTGTGGCCTTTGGGACAGGATAGTAGCCATGAGGAAGTTCAGACTTGTGGCGATGATGGCTTAACTTTATCCGCCTGGCTTGCTATTGTATGGACCCGGCTGAAGAATCGTGGTCATGTTTTGTGATATTAAAAGTAGAGGTGAAACAATTCATCGATTAAATTAATCATTGATTATTTTTCAGAATCTATGAATTGATTAGCTACCTTTTTTTCAATTTAAAATTGCCCAAATGCTTAGAATTTCACCTTCTCACCAGGTAAATATTATTCAATTTCTGCCGTTATCCATGAAAGCGAAGCGCAATTTGCAAAACAATGACCACAACATTTTGCCTATTTTCTGAAACGTTACGGACCAAAATAGTACTCAACTCATCATGAATTTATGATGTGCCTTTTCTGCACTGTTCATTTCTAATACATTTTTGAATCATAAAATGTGTTTTCCAAAACATCCTGTCTACCGTAATAAGTTTTATGATAGTGGCAATTTGCCCATGAACGGATTATTTGTCTTTCAATTACTTTCCATGCGAAAAATTTCTTTGACGTCCGCAATCAGAGGGGTAAGGATTAGAGACTGGCCAACATTTTGGAACACATTGCGTTGAATGAGAGGGCCCGCTGTACTTTATTTCATTGTCCAGTTCGTACTTATCGTTCAATCCATTTATCTGATTTTTCAAAGCGCTGTCAAACAGCATTTACATCTCTGTCCCTCCCCGCTTGCATGTTTTCATCAAACTTTGGTCATGTCACATTGTTTGAATGTCACGAGTGACTGCGAGGACATGACACAGTGCGTCTATCTGGTTGTATAGTCAGTGTTGCAAGAACAAAGACAAGTCGAAACCAGTTGAGAGGCAAAGCAGGTTAGGAACGCCCAAAGGCAAACTACTAAGCTCATTAATATGTATAGAAAACACACTTGCAGCAGTTACTGAGCATAAAAATAAAACACTTAGTTCCACCAGTTTGAACACTTTTTTTATGATCTGTTGTTATGCAGACATTTACAGTGTTCAGTAGGTGTTTGAATGCCAGGAGAACATTTCTAAATATGTTCATTATTTGACTTTGGTGCTTGGACGTTAATGCCAAATAGATACAAGACACACTAAATGAGGTAAACGGGCCCAAATGACATTCCGCACCAGGCCATCTAGCGCCAGCTAATGCTAACGTTGGCACAAATCTATCGGGAGCAGGAGGAGGCCTTAAACGTAACCAATAAACACATTAAACAGTGATGCCTCTCCACAAGCACTGGAAAAGGCTTAAAAAACAAACCAAAAAAAAACCCCTCTCAAACACCAACACCTTTGACGGCTTGTACATCTCTTCAAAGCACCCCACTCTTTAAATGTGTGACAACCTGCTCGTGGCGCGTCACCTCTCGCTTGACCGCAGTGTCAATTTGAAGTAATGTCACGTAAATTAAAGCTATCAAATTCCTTGATTAATCGATTATTAAAATCAAATTGTTGGTTACAGCAACATACATTGCAACTTAGTTTGATGTTTAGTTTGACAGTAAACTGCAACTGGGAGTGGCATGACAAAGCTTAAAGCCTCTTTTGAGATAAATTGCTTGTTTTTCGTTCACTCTTGTGAACTGCTGCTAGTTGTGAGTGAAACACGAACAACGCCCCCCGCACCCCAAAAAAAACCCGCCTAAACAATGCCCCTAACCTGAAAACCTTATGTTGAGTTACTCGTATCTCAAGCCACCACTGTACAATTCTCTGTCTTCCTATAATAATAATAATCTCAGTATGGCACTAATACTCATATATTGTACTTAAATAAGCCTTTTTTTTTTAGGTTGTGATTTTCAGATGTTTGGAACCTCACAATAGAGGGACAAAGTATACGATAGCTATCTTAGTATAATGCACCACAGTTGTGCAAAACCTATTAATTCAAATTGAGCATGACTACTAGTAGTAATTATTATTATTATCGTACAGGCAATTCAAAGTATGTTTGAGACATGACGGCATTTGAGTCAATCCCACCCATATGCTGTGTTAGCATTAAAAAAAAATAGGTGTGACTGCTACACTTCCTCTTATTTGTCATCACCCATGCATAAAAACACACTTGAGTACAACAAAATAATACCGATCAGGAGAAGAAAGAGGCTAAATTTGCCGTTCATCGGGGTCGCATGCGCCCAAAATGCGTGGAGGAGACATGAGGGGGGTTTCGCATATGATGGGAAGGGGGTGGGGTGGGGGGTCTTGTGTTTAAATGTAGTCCAAACTACTGCCGACAATGAGCACAATAAGCAGAGGCAAGAATGACATTCGGCTCATGAATAAGTCACCCTGACACGGCTTGGGTATCCCTGGACGTGTAAAGCGACAGGGATTCGTTTACTACCGAGGACAACCTGATCCGCTGAGACGGCTCAGTGAGCGCGCAAGGGGGGGGGGGGGGGGGAGAGCACCCGAAATAAGCTGCAATTAAAACATTGTTGAGGGTGGGTGGGGGCACATCAATACAGTGGGAAAGAAGAAGGAAAAAAAAGCCAAACTCACCGTTAAGATTTGAGGAGGGAAGGAAGGAAGAAATCACAATACGCGCAGCAGCTCCTTCTTTTTCTTCTGTGCTACATGAGGCAGCAGCACATATCTTTTCCGTGATTTAACTTCTCGCTGCAGCGGCCAACTTTTTTTTTTTTTCACTGTCACAGGGCGTGTGCATGCGCGGGGGAGAAGGAATGTGGACAGGGGCGCCCGCCGCTTGCCTTTGCTTGAGCAACCGTTGACATTCTCGCTGATCCCGGCCGGTATCGTGCAATTACAGCACTTTTGTTGCCCCTTTTCTTCCCCAACTTTTCTCTTATTTTCTACCTTTTTTCCGGCGTCTTTTACACGTTGGAACAAGTTTGTGCGTTTGTTTGTTCTCGCATGCAACAAGTGCCACGCCCTGAAACTTTGTTCACTTATGCAAAGAATGGGAAGACGGTGGCTCAGTGGAGAGTAAAAGTTAGAACAAAAACACCACACGGAATGTTTTTCAACACGCTGAAAAGTAACATACAACACATGGCAGACAGTGAACGCCTGGTGCTTTCCTGTGTGTGGGTGTGTGGGGGTGGGTGGGAGTGATTGGAACAGTCAAGGCTGCTTCTAACATTTCAAGAAAAAGAAAAAAAAATAGTGCACTCGAGTCAAACTTGAGTGTATGACACACACAAGTGAATGACATCATATGATTGGCTGAATATCTCCCTCAGATGCCAGCGCTGCTCCAAGTCGAGCTCTCCATCGCGGCTCCTGTCCAAAGGGTCGGAGAACAACTGTCAAAGTGTCACTTGCAACAGTTAATGGAGACGACGTGAGCAGATGTGGTTCAGGCAGATATTGCAGCTCTGTCGCCGTCTAGTGGACGTCTATGTAAACTGCATGCATTTAAAAAAAAAAGGGAATTTTCCACACTTGGAGTACTTTTTTTATAGTCTGCTACAAAGTCATGACTTAAGTCATTACTGTAATGCATAAAGTGTGAAAGTGGTTTGATTAAGGTACAGAGATGTGATTTAAAAAATAGTTTTGATGGACATATAATTAACTCGTCAGGGCACACCCCTTACAAGAAGAAAGCAAGGGTCCCATGACCGTAAACACAGGGCTCGTTGTTGTGAGTCACCAGTTTAACTCTGTAATTGCTGCCCTATTATTTGTCCACGCGTGCAAGTACTTGCTAGCGACTAAACAGACTATTCGTTTGGTCTTGTTTTGAAAGAGACACACATTTAAAACAGTCCCCGGGTGTCTAAATACCACTAAGAATTAAGAATTGCGGATTTATCATCCTCGAGTTTTTTTTTTCAACGGCTGAAATCGGTCAGCCGATCAACTGTGGGGTGTGTGTACAGAAGTACGACTTTGCATAAGCATGTCAAACAAGGGCAGAACTGGTTTTCAGCACAGAATTTTAGTTTTTAAGAAGAATTTGAATTAATATACATTTTTGTGAAGGGGAGGGGGGGGGAGTGAGTTCCAACCGAGCCTCATTAAGACCAGCTATCGTATTTTCACTGTTGGATGAAGCACTTCGACACTAAATCACACAATTACATTTATCAATTAATGTAGCTGATCCATAAATGTGGCGCATGCAATGAGTTGACACATTTGCCCAAACGAATATATGCGAAGGGTGCTTCAACTTGAAAATGTTTCTCTTTTCACCACACATACAGTTGTCTGGGTTAGAGACAAACTACGGCATTTCCTAAGATGGATAGCGAGCTAGATCAGGGAACGGCTCAAAGCTGCAAGCGTGAAGTTCAAACACCAGAAACTTACTGTCTCTTTGTGTTGAAAGCAATTGCCGCTGCCACAAGACATGGTGGCAGCCCAACGCGAGTGACTTTAGATTTGGCCAGCACTCGTTTGAGGAAATACAGTAAATAAAGCAAGAGCCAATTGCGGACAAATTTGGAGACAAAAAAAAAAAAAAACTTGTGACCAACCAGTCATCTTGGCACTAATTAGCTCTGTGGGTTACATTCATGTACATTGCATTGTACTGAAGGAAACACGCCCCTGGTCTTGTCAATTCACTTATTTCTTTTTCTTCTGCGAGCCTACATAATAAACTGGCACACAACCACTCTGATCGACTCAAATTAAGTCCACAGCATTCATAAGATGTAAAAGTAAAGACCAACTTCAGGCATCATTCACTCACTAAATGAGCAATATACATTGTGACCAGAGGTAACGTGCCATTGCTCAAATGGTTTGTGTTTGACAGCATATATGGACTCTCACCTTCTTCAGGGAGTGAAAAAAAAAGCAAGTGCTAGAGGGAGCGAAAAGAAAGTCATAAAACAGGCACAATTATAGCACCGGTGTTGCCAAAACTTTTTGCGAACGAGCCACTTGGGCTGCTGACAAGCCTTATTAGTTCAGATAAAGCCCTGACAGCATGTGCATTAGGGAGACAGTTATAGCGCTAACAAGCTCTGTGGCTTCATCATCCAAAACCTACTTTGCAGAAGTTTTCAGGTCCCCGACATCCTATTCTGAGTCATCAGTGAGGAAGAAGAGCGCAGTTGCACCTATGTGCGTTTATAGACTATCCATCTATTTATATGGGCCTTGAGTCTGCCACATAAAAGATGATGAATCAAAATGGCTGCTGGGATTTCTTAAGAATGGAGTGACATTTTGTATAAAGAATAATGCATTAAGTGCACTTACTACAAAAACATTGTTTCACATAAAATATGGACCAACATGAATCATTGCTAAACCTTTGTGATTTATGATCTGGACAATCACAGAGCACTTTCTTAATCAACACTAATGAACACCTCAAAAACATGACAAGGTTCGGCAAAGAAACCGGATGGAGTGCGGATCCCACAAACGCAGACTTGGACAAACTACGATACAACAAGGTTGAGTTACAGGAAAAACGAAGGAACGACAAAGTGTAAGCGGGCAGCGAACTGGGAAAATCCAATATGAACCAAAGGCGCTTCGCAAAAGGCAAGGAAATTTTGAATTCTGAAAATACACAAAACGAAATGACAAAAGTCCAAATACACAAAACTTAAATCAGATAAGAATAACAAGAAATACTTACAAGAACCTATGGAATCAGGAGCAACCATGAAGATGACTTCCAGAAAATATCTCTTGATCATAACCGCAAGAAAGATGAATAATCCAGCAAAGATTTGACGACGACTTGATTGGGAACAAAGCACAGGTGCACCACTAACGAGACACACCCTTCACTCGTGCTGAAAAACAAAACAAAGACAGCCAAAACATGACACAACGGTGTCTCCTATTAAGGTGTAAAATGTACATACATTTTGAAGTAGGAAGTCAAAATATGTCATAGAAAATAAATACTTGTAAACACATCCTCACAAGTACAAAATTAGACAAAGAAGTATTGTGACCAGCAACACCAGAAGCCTTCCTAGCAACACGTTCCACAAACATGGCCGCCAATGTTACTTGGAAAGCATAATTGGCAATCGCAAATGTACAAGGAGGGCAGTACAATTTCTAGATTTAACTTTTATGTGCAACACGTTTTCATGAACGCATTAACATTCAGTGGCAACCCTCCCAGTCACAAAGCACATTTGGCATCTATTGCCATCAATGGCAGTGGGTGAGTTTTAAAGTACGTTTTTATTTTCCTACATTCGAGTGCACAGTTAATGTTGAAAGTGTCATTAAAGTTACACTGCCTAATGACAAATATGTGATGAAAAACATAAAATGTCAAACCCACAAACGTCATCAGTCCCTCAGAGACCAAAAAAAGAATTTCCTTCACGAAAGCCAACGGCAATATATTCTACTCTAAAAAAATAAAAGTCAATATAAAACCGCGGAAGCGTGGAACTGACATTGTGGACAAAATTTTTTTGGCTGGGACATATCATTCAAACGTATTGCAAAATTTTGTGAAAACGAAGATGCTAAAAACACCACTTTTTATAATACTGTATCACGGGGTCCTGTATTGTACGGAAGCTTGGCACTGGAACTCTCCAAAAAAACTGACGGCTACCACAATGCTGTTTTTCGACACTTGCAATTTAAGGATGCAGAAAACAAGATACAACATCAGAAGCGTTTTCTATATAAAATATAGTCGGATATAAGTCGGAGTACCTGCAGAAAACCCAAGCAAGGACGGTGGTAACATTTTAACTCCACCCGAGAAGGTCCAAGCCAAGATTTGAACCTCAGAACCGCGAGACGGATGTGATGCAACTGTGATGTTAGCTGAGTCTTATGTGAGCACAGAAGAGGCTTTGAGACAGTCAGATGGCCACATTTTATTAAACTGCCAAAGGTGACGACTTCAAACAACAACAAAAGCTCTGAATGCTACCATTTTCAATTGTGTCGCAATATTGTTAGCTGCAAGCAATAGTAAACCAGCAGTAATCAAGTGTTACTTTCAAAATTAAACACAAATTAAGGACTTTAGTGCCCAGGATGAGTCATGTACCTGAAGAGCGACAAATAAGCTTAGAACAATATTTTCTGTGCCTTACCATATTTCGCAATACTTGAAAAATAAGTTACTTGTAAGCATTCAATGCAATTCTGTACACAGATACTTAAACAGAAAGTAAACAGGCATCTTATTGAGGGGAGAAAAAAAACACATTCACTTCAATAGCTCCAGACATATCGCCATGGGAACCGACTCAAATGATTCAAGCTGCATCGTGTCAATAATAACACTGAGCAGTGCGAGTGCTGCAGCAGAAGGGAGAAAAAAATGACACTGCAGGAATAAGTTCATGTGTAAAATATGCGGGACCACTCGCAGGCAGGAGGAACCCATCAAATTGCTTTCAATAACGTATCAAATAAAACAGCGCTAATAATTTTTCTTATGTAGCCAGTGGACAAAAGTATGAAAAAAAAATATGGAGTGTAATTGTGCTATTAAGTGCATTGATTCGCAAGCACTATGCCGCAGAGGCGCGCCGTTGTAAATTATCCAATCACACTGAATTCGCCCGATAATTATTTATTTCAAAGTATTTCTCGTTTCATCTCTCTAACAGAGTGACAGGCAGAACAACTTCATGCTCTCAACTCGACGGCAGAAGGTGCAATTACCATGTTGCCAATCAAACGACAAAATAAATACCTTTGTGTTCAACCAAAAAGGCACAGATTTCACACAGTACATTTGTGATTACATTTAATTAAACAAATTACCACCATTTCAATAATCGCACTGTTTGTGGCATTTTTTTTTTTTTTATTTGGTGGTGTGCAATGAGATATTTCTGATGTGCCTTGGCCCAGTAAAGGGTTGAGGAAGTTGGTAAACAAGAAATATGTATCGCACCAGGCACCCTCCACTAACTACAAATGCATATTAGCTGTTAAATCATTGCCAGGTCAGCAAATGTGATGAGATCCCGAACGAGAAATAAAAATGAATAGTCAGAATTTTGTTACTGCGACCCAAAATGAGACCTGCACTGCGGTGGATGAAATGTACTCTCAATGGTGGGATAATGTGCGCCGTACACACACACACACACACACACACACACACACACACACACACACACACACACACACACACACACACACACACACACACACAAAATGGAACCTAAAAATGAAATGTGAAATTGCACAAAAATGTCTTCCACCATCCAGTGTTCCCTTTTTAGCGATGGATGCCATCCCTTCCACCCTCAGCCACTGGCTCGTGCGTTCTCCTTCCTCCACTCCCCTTTGCGTTGCTCGCCGCCTCCCACCACTAAAAACTTCTCCAGCGCTTCTCTCCCGAACGCCTCCATCTCATCCTCCAGGTCGCTGTCTTCCTCGCCGTCCCCTTCCACCATGTCTTCCAGAATATCCGACACGTCCTTAACGAACTTGCGGAAGTTGACTCGGTCGTGCACGAACACGCCATCCTGGAAGAACTCGGAGGTGAGTTTTCGCAGCTGGTCCCTCTTGGAGGAGTCCACGCCGGCCTGCTCGGCCTTGGCCAGGTAAGCGTGGAGGATGGACTCGAAGTGGGGGAAGGAGACGGGATGAAGTCCCTCGGCCTGGGCGCAGGCCTCCTGTGAGTGGCAGTGCTGTGGCTGTTTGGGCTTCCTGTGGAGGCGCTTCCTCTGCTGGGTCCAGTAGTCGGTGGAATCGGCGGCGGATTGTTGCTGCCCGGGAGGCGACGTCTTCCTCTCGGCCCACATGTTCTCCTCGCGATGGTGGCCGGCGATTTTGTGCTTGTGCCAGTTTGATTTGTCCCCTTTCAACTCGCCGCTGTCCTCTTTCCTCTTCTGTCCGTCTCCGTTCTTCCTGCGGTCCTTATCACCTTTTCCATGATGACTCCACTGCTTCCCGTCATCAGTCTTACCGGCGTGTTTTTTGGCGTCCTCCACGTGTTTCCTCTCCCCTCCTTTTCCCTTTTCGCCATTGTTGCTCTTCCAGGTCTTGTCTTTGCCGTGTCCCTCAAAGCCATTTTTCCCTTTCTGCTTCCACTTGTCCATCACTTTGTGCCTCTCGCCTTCGTCTTTTCGCCACTCCTTCTCCCCCTCTCCTCTCCATTGCTTCTCATGCTTGCCCTTCTTCCACTCTTTCCTCTCCATCTTCTCGGCCTGCACCTTCTTCACGTCTCGCTCCTTCCACGTCTTCCCCTCTTCCCCTCTGCTCTCCCGCTTCCAGTCTTTCTCCTCCTTGTGCTTTCCTTCCCCCTCCTTCACATCGTCGTACTTTCCGTGCTGGCGTTTCTCACCTTCGGCCCGCTTCCGCTCTGTTCTGCCGCTCTCTTTGCGCGCCTTCCATTCGTTTTTCTTACTCTCTTTGTTTTCGCCCATGTCATGTTTATCCTTCTCTTCTTTCCCACGCTTGCCATTCTGTTTTCTGTCTGCTGGCTGACCACTTGGGGGCACTGCAGATGAAGAAGTATATCAGAAAAGAATAATTGCTCCAAACCTTCCAACTATCCCTCCCGTACCTGTCAACTTACTGACAGCGGATCTCAAAGTTTCGAGTTCATGCTGAAGTGTCGGCAGCGTCTCTAGCTCCTTCCTCAGCATCTCGTTCTCTTTCTCAAGGACAGGAAGAGACGCCACTTCGGACTTCAATCTGCTATTTTCCTCCTGCCAGCGCATCCGCGTCATTTCGCCCTCGGCTGCTTGCCCCTCGGCTGCTTGCAGTTGTTCTTTCTGTGCCTGGATGAGATGGAAAAGTCAGCATGTCACAAATGTGGTTATGGAACGGTGGTCAACGGTGAGCGGAAAAACTCGACTTGAAGAAATGTGGATGTAAAAGGCTGATTTAGTGTGTTGACTTAAATTTTGCATGGATGTGTGAAATGTATGGCTTTCACAAGTTTGGGCCACTATTACTGCTTCATGGACATTCCATTGTTGGGGAAGGTTGTAAAAAAAAAAAAGTCTGTAGTCGTAAAAGTCTGTTTTGGGGCAGGAAGTGTTTGTTCGCAGAAGTTAACAAAAGCAAACCTTTTGTGCACCACTCACACAGGCTGTGAGGATATGACCCAAGGACACGGTAGCTGATGCAAGCAGAAAGGATTGAGGAGAGAAATGCAGGCGCCAATCAAGCTGCTTGACTCCGTTTTTTTTTTTTAATTTAGATTTTTTTTTTTTTTTATGAGAGCTGGCTTCATGCAGCAGTCCGTGCGTCTGTTCTGCAGCCACGTTGCTTTACAGTGGGTGGCGCCTTTGTCCATTAAGTTTCTGCTCAAAATGCCCGCAAGCTTTCACTCTTGTCCGCAAAGCATTCAGAAAAAAAAAAAGAGGGACAGAGTGTGATGTGGCAACATTTTGCTTACATGGCTGACTGTCAGAGCAAACCCCCCAAAAAAAACAAAACTCCAAACTAAACTGAGTCTGCAAAGCCACACTGATCACAGGAGGGGAAAGTACGGCCTAAAAGTTCACTAAATGGCATTATCTCGGTTCAAAAAGCGACAGATTAGCAAATATGACGAGTTTAAATTGCTTACCTTGAAATAGAAGCCCAATGAGCATGAATTATTTAATAACAAGCAAATTGTGCCCCAACCGTTGCATTTGACAACGTAATCAAAAGTGCATACTGTAGTTTACAGACAAAAAGCAACCAATAATGAGTCATACTTTTGACACAGGCTTCTAAATAACGATGTCAATTTTTTGTTAACTATGGAAGAAATCTACTTATGGTCTTGCTAAGGCAGTGGTGTCAAACTCATTTTTGTCGTGGGGCCACATTTTAGTTACCATTGCCCTTGGAGGGCCGTTATGAGTGAAACCAACTTAAAAAAGTCAATAATAACGGTTTATTCAACTATTGTTTAAGTTACTGTAATGAGGGGTTTGGTAACAAGAACATGCTTACAATAGCTCTGATTTATTAGATATGAGAATTTGAAAATTTGGTCCAGATTTTTCGCAAGCATCATGGAAGTTGACATGTTTGATCTGCTTTCGCGGGCCACATAAAATGATGTGGCGGGCCAGATCTGGCCCCCGGGCCTTGAGTTTGACACCTGTGTGCTCAGGTATCACATTGGACCTGGTCTAGACTGACACTAAAGATCAAGAGACTCAACCTGGATAAAAAACATACAATACAGTAGCCTCATCGCTCTACAGCTTGCTAAATTTTCTCCATGACAAAACCCACAATGTCGACAAAATGTTCTGTACAGTATTTCTAAAAAAACTGTCCATTGTTGGTAACACACACGCACGCACGTGCGCACACACACCTCTAGTTGAGCTTGCAACATAGAAATTTGCTGGTCTTCTTTGGCTAGTTTGGTGAGAAGTTCAGAGTTTTCAGCATCTGCTGGGGGTGGAAGAGCCTCTGGATGAAGCCACTCCTATGACAAATCCAAAAACACACACACACTACTGCTCAGAGAATAGGGAAATTGGGGAAGAGGGCATGTGCGATGAATACAAATCAAATGAGAGCAATAGAAGAGAAGAAATAAGCTTCAGACTGACCTGTCTTCCTGGTTCTTCTGGATCGCTCAGTTCCCTTGTACTGTAGACACTCTCTAAAAGTCAATGTACAGGGTGAACAATATGTATCTGTTATTACTCATACGTGAAGAGAAACAAGGTGAACAAAAATTAGTGAGGCATCGGTTTGGTTTCCATTGTTTAACTCCATTTGGTGGATGCAATGAGCATTGTCCTCTTTCAAGAGGATTTTGGACACAGCTCTTGGTTGCTCTGTGTGCCTCTTAGCGTGCGGAGACAATAATGAATGAAAACAAAGCTTACCCTCATCCAGGTCCATGAAAACACCTGCAGGTTATAGCACATGTTATCTAGCAGCTCATTGTCTTCCAACACGGGCTGAAGCGCATGTGGGGTCACCTACCGGAGAACAAGATGGTACCGAGTGCAACTAGGATGACGGCGCCCAGGATACATCTGTTCAGAGAGAACATGTTGTCATCTTCCCTCTGCCGTGGCAGCTGGAATTCTTCTTCCTCTCCTTCCTCTTCCTCATCTATCCTCCCGATTCGCTCCAGAGAGGCCAGTAGGCGCTTCCTCTCGGACTCGGTGTCCTTGGCCCGCTCTTCATCCGATCCTGGTTGCTCCGAGGAGTCTGGAGGGGAGTGCGATACCGTTTGCATTTCAAATGCTGAGATGAAGACTAAAAGCCATGGTAACAACAACAAAAATAAATCAATAAATTGATTTCATTATTCGGGACAGCAACTTTTAACAAGGATTGGCTGTGCCACATTTGTGCTCTGACCCATCCATCCATTTTCTGAATCGCATTATCTTCACTAGGGTCGCGGGGTGTGCTGCAGCCGATCCCAGTTGTCTTTGGGCTGTAGGCGGGGGACACCCTGAACCGGTTGCCAGCCAATTGCAGGGCACACAGAGACGAACAACCATCCGCGCTCACAGTCACTGCTAGGGACAATTTCGAGTGTTCAATCAGCCTGCCATGCATGTTTTTGGAATGTGGGAGGAAACCGGAGTACCCGGGGAAAAGCCACACAGGCCCGGGGAGAACATGCAAACTCCACACTGGGAGGCCGGAGCTGGAATTCAACCCACAACCTCTGCACTGTAGGGCGAAAGTGCTAACCAGTCAAGCAACGGGTCGCCGTGTTCTGACCCGTCTGCCTCAATTTTTGCCATTTCTCTGCACACCCACTCCAATCCCAAGTTCAGTCAATAAACTCCCTTTGGTCTCTTTGGTCATACCTGGGTGTTTAGAAAGAAGGTCTGACTCCAGCCCTTCCTGTTTGAGGTCTTCCTCCCGCGTTCCGTCATGCCTCTCTTCTTGCTGCGTCAGCTCCGCACCTCCCAGTGTCTCTGCGCTCATCGGCGAGCCCGAGGGCTCGTCAGGGGACGGGGTGACGTGGCTCAGGGAGTCGGAGAAGGCGTCTTGGTTTGGGTTGTCGGGTGCAACCTCTGACTGCACCTCGCCAACAGGAACGGGGGCATCGATTACAGAGGAAGGGGGACGATCTGTGATGGAGTCGTCACTTGGGTCTGCTTTTCTCTCTTCTGCATCCTGATTCAAAAGAAAAGGGTCATCACAAGGATAAACACTTACAAGCACTGTTGCTAAAATCAAGTACATGATATGATTTGAAATGACATGACAAAAGTTCAATACGTGGCACGTTAGTTACTTTTTTAACATTCATATCAGGCAAGGGTAAGAAGAAATCGTAAAACGAAAAAAAAAACCCCACCTATCATAATCGTCTATGTTGACTTTGGTAACAAGTGACGACTCGTATAGTGACGCTAACCACTTTGAATGCATGTCTGCTTCCTTCCTGTGCCATGTGGTGTGTATTGTTCTTGGGGAGGAAAAAAAAACCTCTTATTGACGTTGGCTCACGGTTTTGAAAAAGCTTGACTTGACAAAAGAAAATAATGAAAACCGCACATTGCATTACTCTTTGATTCCGTGGCATAGGTTGAGCTAAAGTGACGCGAAAACACAACGTGTCTACACCATGTCTTTTTTTTTTTGCGACTTTTGAGGCATCAAATTCACAGCGAAAAAATGATTTTTACAATCTTAAGCGCATTGAACCTTTCGTGACCTGTCAGTGCATTTGTCCTCTGACCTGGTGGTTGTCCACCGAGAGACTCGACGTGCAGTCTGCACCCTCTGGTGGCTGGTTGCTTGGTTCACAAACTGGCTCATCATGAAGACAAAAAGAAAAAAAAAAGACAGCAATTTGAAAGGGAAGTCACCTACGTCTATAATTTAAACATTTTTTTACATATTCCTTATAAGGAAGCAACAGGTGCCATTCGATCATTGTGTCAGTATGCAAATAATGATGAAGGAATCATGAAGAGAAACCTTGTACATGATGCTTCGTCTGTTCCTCCAGTGGCCTCACAGTTTCAGCAACGGTCTCCTGGTAGGATATGCACATTAAAAAAAACAACAAAAGAAAAACACACACTGATCTGTATATGTCTAACCTGATAATATGTAATTTGACAGGAAGTGGTTATCACAGATAAGTGAGAGCAGAGAAGGGAGTATAAAAACTACCTCATAGTCAAGTGACCTAAAATAAAGCGGAACTGGGTCGAGTGTTTTTTTTTCCTGTATTCTTTCAAACCTGCACTTTAATTGAGGCGCTGAGGCGACTTGACAGTACCTCAGGACTAACGATGGTCCAGCTGCTGTTAGCGCTGTTGCCGCCAGACATGGCCCCTTTGAGGCTGCGCTTGTGTCCTGCGACAAACGGAGACATCGTGACCAACGGGCCACCACTGGAAGATATAAACTGAAACGAGCTGGCACGGAATGGATGAGGCCAGACGAGAGGCTGCGTTTGTGAGCTCTGCACGAAAACACATTTAGTTTGTTTGTGCAGCGCTGGGACAAAGTGTCCAACAGGAAACCAAATGACACCAAGAACCCAACAGTTAGGTCGAGAGGTCGTAGGACGACGACAGTGTTCCAATTTTGTCTTTTATATATCTCACCACAATAGATTTGAAATGAACAGCCGAAGTCCAGAATATTCCCATCATTGTTAACATTTACATTCAAGAGCCACATCTCTGCGCAAATAATTTTCACAACAGGGTGCGAAGCAACGGTGACCTGAAAGAATAGTAAACAGACGTGACCAGAAAACAGATTAAAAAAATAAATAAATCCAACACCGTGAAATTCTTGAGAGAAGAAACAAAGTCGACATGTATCACATTCATGGAAAGAGGAAAGTATGGACTACAATCATGATCCAAAGCATACCACATCATGCATCCAACATGCTGGAGGCGTTGTTTGGACATGGAAACATACTGTTTCGCTGGTACTGGAACATGCTCACTGTGACTATTGTCAACGTAACATGATGACTAGTGAGGTGGATACGACAATATGCTGTTCACAACTAAGCTAATACTACTAACCCGATAAGACCGATGAATAATGACCATGATAATATTGTAAAAACAAAAATTTTCTAAAGGCACAGACTCTTGAAAATTATTCACTGGCCAAGTGAATAGCCTGACGTCAATCTATTCGAGCATTTCCACTTGCAGAACACAAAAGAGGAGGCCCCTTCTGAGAGGAAAATTACGATATGGTCAACTTCGTGCACTCCAGACTTCAGGCACTCAGTGACTCAAAAAAAGGGGTTGATCAAGTATTGAAAATGACGCTTTAATGGCTGTAAATAAGCCCTCGGTATGCCACTCAAGAAAGTGAAAAGTGGAAGTGACTGTACATTTAAGGAGGTGATGTTTTTGGAGGAATAGAGAGGAAAAACGAAGAGAGACACGGACGGCCCACCTGCGCACGGTGGGGAGAGAGAGTAGAGGCAAAGTGTGAGTTACAAGGAGAAAATAAATAGCGCTCACTTATTGCCCAAGTCCTTCTGGACCTAACTGGATTTTTGACCGATTGATTGAGGGAAGAAAAAAAAATTTGACAGTTGAATCCAGCTCTCAGAGAGCATTGAACATCTCATTCTTCAATGTCCTCCCTCTTGCCCACCCTTAACTTGACAGCGCTAAAGGTTGAACGCATTTACATCCTCTATTAATACACACGCAAGATTTGAATACTTTCCCCGAGGCCTCACCCAGGTCTGTCAACAGTATAGAGCAACCGTCGTGTGCCGTCACAAGTTTGCAGTACATGTGTGTGCACAGGAAGTGGGTTTTTCCCAGGGGCCATTTAGTTTTGCCATGAGCGGTTTATGTGTGTTGTGGGAGTTCAGTCACCCTGGCTTTTGACAAGCGGAGGGGAAATGTTTGGCCCGAGGCTCGGGTAACTAAGGCCGGCCCGCGCGGCGAAGACAAGAGAATGGGCTGAATCGGCATTTCAACATCACTAGGCGCTTCATTGATGCAAACAAAACCAAGTCGCTACTAAATATAGTGGAAACACGAAAAAGGTCCGACACCATTTGTTCCACAGCGCTGTGGTAAAACTACCTTTAATTAGCTTTATTTGCTCCCATACATATCAATTCAATTATCAATCTGTAAAATAGCTTCTTTAAAATGAATAGGCAACATTTCAGTGTCTTAACTGGAACTCGGAGTGGCCCTGAATTCATTTTTTTGCACAGTGAGCGTTTGGGTGGCACATCCGCCTCACAGTGCAGAATTTGATTTTGGCTCCGGCCTTCCTGTGTGGAGATGGCATGTTCTCCCCGTGCCTGCGTGGGTTTTCCCCGGGTACTCCGGTTTCGTCCCACATTCCTAAAACATGCATAGCAGATTAATGGAACGCTCTTAATCAACGGTGGCCAACCAGTTGACCGTGATCAAATGGTCCCAAGTCAATCGTGGGGGGGTTGATTAGTGTGTCTGTGTGCGTGTTAATATGATATAGTTTTTTTTGTTAGTGTACATTCCACAATATGCATCATATCAGTTTCACAAAAAAGTATTTCTTTTATAAAATAAAGTAGCAGGTCACTTTTAACCTACGGTGGCAATCAACGGTGGCCAACCAGTTGATTAGTGTGTCTGTGTGCGTGTTAATATTATATAGTTTTTTTTGTTAGTGTACATTCCACAATATGCATCATATCAGTTTCACAAAAAAGTATTTCTTTTATAAAATAAAGTAGCAGGTCACTTTTAACCTACGGTGGTGCGTGACCTCCATCACCGGAAGTTGTTAGCGGTGAGCAGTCGGCAATTGCAGATTGCTATCAGAGCTGTTGCGACATATCTTATTTTTTTTTTTTTTTTACCTTGTTTCACAAAAAAAGTATTTCTTTTATAAAATAAAGTAGCAGGTCACTTTTAACCTACGGTGGCGCGTGACCTCCATCACCGGAAGTTGTTGGCGGTGAGCAGTCTGCAATTGCAGATTGCTATCAGAGCTGTTGGAACATATCTTTTTTTTTGGGGTTTTTTTCTGCATTTGCAATTCACTGATGGCCCTGGCAAATAACGGCATTTTAAAACTTTGAGCTCTTGCACTTAACGGTTTGCTGCACAGGAGTTTTGTGTTATCTTTGAATGAAGATGTATATGTGAGAAAGCCCTTTGCACAGGGGAAAAATAAAATCATAGCATGTGGTTATATTTGTGGTTTCTTTCAAACCTTTGGAGTTGAGGAGTGTATCTTTTATATGCAATTAAAAAAAAAAAGACATATCCACATTTTTTGCCCTTATCTAAAATGGCATTTTAGTCATCCATGTGGATAGGAAGTGTGTGGTCCTATGTGGCCCCCAATAGTGCTGATGAAAGGTTGTGACTCCTTTCAACATTTGAAATTTTTCCCCATGTTTGGGAAAATTCAAGTGCATTTTTGCAATATTTTGTGGATAGGAAGTGTGTGGTCCTATGTGGCCACCCATTTGAAATTTTTCCCCACGTTTGGGAAAATTCAAGTGCATTTTTGCAATATTTTGAATTACATCCACTGTGTACAGTACCTTAAACTTCATCTTTCCATATTATCTGGCTCTTTCTTTCATGAACACATCACAACCCAAATTCTCCCGGTACTGACACATTTTCTTTCCCGCACTTTGCAATTTAGGTCTCCTCTCCCACGAGAAACTAGCCCGAGGTCCGAGGAGTATTGTGGAGCGTATAGTGGGACAGCTTACATAGATAATCGCTAAATATAGCTGTCAGGAGATTGACTGGAGTCGGGAGAGAGGGAGAACATGAAGGAAAGCAGAAGACAGCTGGATTAGTCCAAAGATTTACCAGCTGCTGGCTTTCAGTTGCTTATGGTTCATGACGCATAGGAAGTCTTGAACTTGGATTTTACCATGCTTTAACAAGCACAGTTAAAGTATTGTGGTTCCTTGACAAGTGAAGGCAGCGAGCAAGAAAGAACTACCAAAAAAGGTCAGGACTTCGACACAGGCTGAGGCATCATTTTGACAACATTGTGGGCCTGACAGCTTTGCAAAACAATTTGTTCCATATAAATAAATGCCAGTTCAATTCATATGTCTGTCAAATGTTAGTTTTAAAAACTTGTTTTTTTTTTTTTAGCTGTACAGGCAAACGTAAGAAATGTCATAAAAATGTCTATGGATACACAAAAAGACCAGGCTGACTTATTTATTGCAGCAAAGAATTGCATGAGGAGCCAGGACTAATATCCTATGATCCTGACCATCTTTTTAAAATTATTAGTTATTTTGGTTATTACCACATTTTTCCTCTTGTAAAATCTCACGAGATCTGTCCTATTCTCGCGTGGTGAGAGTGGAGGCTTCTAGTGGGAGGTGAGCATCACGCACAAACAATTTAGACATGAGAGGCTACTTTTGGACCAAAAAAATGCCATAAACGTCGAAATACAGACAAATAAATTGAACACAAAACTCCCATACACGCTTGTAATTAATTAATTCAACTCATATATAAGTGAGGAGCGAAGCAAACCATGACCGTATGTCAAGGAAGAGTCTAGCAAACAAATACGACGGAACGAACTACCATAGAACTAACGTTTTAGTTTATTAAATCAACCACCACAGTTCTTCTTACCTTCTTTCACTTTCACTTGACTTTATCCAAGCGGCTTTACACGGTGTTAGTTCCGAGGTAGCCTTTAGTCTTCCTTTCCTTTCCATCCAACTTGAGGACTGTTAGGTCGAAGAACTTGCCTTCAGAACCCGGACAGGCAGCAGGCTCTCTCGTCCAATCACAGTCGAGATTTTATCAAGTCCCGCCTCTTCTCCTCCGGAGCGGCCAATCGCAGTGAGTCCTTGCTCCGAGTGTGTTTGGGGAAGTTTTCAGGTTGATTGACACATGGCAGGTGACGCTATGTACAATGCAGCTTGCTCACAGGCAAATGTAAATATTAATTCTACACTACTTAGCACACTTACGTAAGTCACTCAAAAAGGCTCCCGAAGAAACCTGGAATACCTTGACAACTAAAGCATACAGTAGCTTGTAGCAGTTGAAAATCAATAATGCAAACATAGAAGGTAAATGATTCTACTGATGAAGTCGTTTATTCTGATCAGGGAGTCCCCGCACAGTCACAATCATGAGCTCCACATCAGCAAGCTTGTAAATGTGTCCAGGGAAAAACCAACAACAGCATCCTACAAAAGGGAAACAGGAATAGATTATTACAATAAATGGGTTCATTTAAGATGGGGGTGGGGGGTTAAATTCAAAGTAATGTAAGTTATGTATCATTTTTGTCATTAATTAGGCATAGGCAAACAGGAATAGAGGATTGCAATGAGTGGGGTTATTAAATAGAACAATGAAATGAATTCAGAATTTCATTCTAACTGGACTATAATAATCAAATATTATTGAATATATTAAAATATGAAAACTACTTGTTTTAGAATAACGTGTGTATTTTAGATTTATTTTATAAAAATTAAAATGAGTTTTTATCACTTTTATTTACATTAGTTAGTTACATTAAAAATAAGAATTTAATACTAGCAAAAAAATGTAAAAGATTTTCAATGAATGCTTTTATTACATTTTACTTGACTATATTCAAAAATAGAGGGATTGAATGTTATTCGGTGAAAAAACTATTTGTAGTATTAAACAATGATCATTTTATTATTATTTACATTTGTGTGAATCCTAAATTACATTTTATTGCATTTTTTTAAAAAAAAATAAAATGTAAAATGGGAATCTGTTCAGTTTTTGTTTAATATTCTGGACCTTTTTTAAATGAAAGCTAAAATAATGTGAACATTTAGTGAACTGTACATATTAATTTAATTGTCATTTTATTGATGCAACATACTCTATTGAAGACTATTAACATTGTTTGCTATTTAATGCTATTTTACGAATATGAACATTGAATCACAGTTCTTGCAATTAATTGTGCTTACATTTCAGTTTTCCTTTTTTTGTCCTAATGAAAACAATGAAACGAAAATTCGAGCTTCCTTGGGAGTTTGTCATGCTTGCCTTTGTTTTTGAAGCATCCCTTGCCTCTGTTTAAATAGCAAAAGACAAAAATCACTCCAACTGCACCGTTCCGACTCCATCAACTTTGTTCTAGTCCAGTATCTCCTTGATGCACCAGCAGCAAAGCAGAAAGTAAAGGCACTCCTTCAGCGACTGCACAAATCCGTAGGCTGCGTTCCCTCCGAGCAAGTTCTTTCCGCGACCGAGACCCATGGCCATTTCTCGCAGCTGCTGCCCTAGAGAGGATGAGGAAGACGAAGATGCAGGCATGGCCTGGGGAAGAGGACGCTGAGGATGCATGGCTCCGGACAGGAACGGGGTCAAGGAGTGAATAAAATGGGAGGCGAGCTCTGACAGGTGGGGCAGGATTGGACTCATGCAAGTGCTGGTGCACTTCCTTCCCAGTCCTCGTACACGGCGCCTCCTTCTCGACTCTTCTGCTTGTTTACTGTATGTCCTTCCACGCCGTCTCTCCTTGTCCACTGACAACAGCCCTGAATCAGCACCGTACTGTTAAAAGCTCTTCACAAAGAGGAGAGTTCCAGTGCATTACAGTTCCATACAAGGCTTTGTTGAGGACAGTGTGACAGGCCAATTGATGCTGCATTCTAGCAGGTTGGGCTTTTGTCTCTTCATTTAGGCTACAGTGACACCAGAACATCCGTCCATCCGATTTCTATGGCGCTTACAGAAGTGTTAATAGGGTCACTGGTGAGCTGAGTCTGTCCCAGCTGACTTTGGGCGGGTGGCGCGCTGGACTAGTCGTAAGTCGATCACAGGGCACTTGAGACACACACGCATTGACACTCACGTTCATGACTACAGACAATTTAATCCATTAACAGTCGAGTATGATGTTAGCACAACAAAGCAATTAAGTTGTTTGCTCCAAATCACTTTGGTGGGTTGTTTTGCTTCCTATCTTTAAGTTGGGGGGACAATGCAAGGGAGAATAATGCTGTTCACTCTTTTTTCTTTTTTGTGGCATGAATGATAGCCACTTTTTACAATAGCAAAATCTAAAATGTTTAGTTCAATCGCCCAATTTAAAATTGTATCCACGTTTATTGCCTTTATTTATTTTTTTTTTCATTCTTTAAGTCGGCAGCCCCTGTAAGAATGTGAGAGAAAAGCTTTGGGCATTCACTGTTTTGGATTCCTCAGACATCAGCTTGTTATCAAAATAAAACAAGCTCAAGTGAAGAAAGATGTATCCAGAAGTTTCTTCATGATTCTTCCTTTATATTAAAAATGCTGTAATATATATGCCAGACCAGTAGTTGGCGATGTCACGACATTCTGATTCATATTGCGCTCGTGGAAAATGACCGCTAATTAAAAAAATCCACTCATTTTCATCCATCTCAGGAGGCGACCATTTTGCCACTTGCTGTTGACGAAAGTTTACATCACAGTGTTTTGACTTGACTTCCATTTTATAAACAGCCCTGTTTAAGAGGCCCCTTTGGCTTTTGTGACTTTACTGGCAGGAATTCAAAAGTGCCACCAAAATGAATGAATGATATATGCATTTATTTATATATGCAATCTAGACTTTCAGTTACAGATGTAAACACATATTTTCCCTATGGACAAGTATTAAAACAAAAACACATTAAAAAAAAAATCTAATCACCTGTGTACAATTTTTTTTTTGTAAAGAACATTTGGCTTTATTTTTTCCAAAGACACAAATCATCAAGTCACATTGTCACCACCACCGACACACATACAAAAAAAAACCTCCCCACCTTACTAAATGTATAAATTTATTTTGTAATCATGCGACAAAGGCAGCTGTGATGGACACAAGACCACTTGACGAATGGTGCGGGTCTACTATCACAGCCTGGACCTAAAGCAGTGCGTGTGTGCGTCCAGGCAGGTACAGTTTGAGCTACCGCAGGTACAGTTTGAGCTACCGCGTGACTAAAAAAAACAAAAAAAATCCCTTCTCAAATATCAACACGTTCCACCCTTCCATCTAAAGCTCCCTGTCAGCTACTCATCAGGTTCGCAAGATAGTCAAGGTTATTTCCTGATGCTCAGGAAATCCCCCCCTCCGCCCTCCCATCTAATCACCTGTGTACAATTTTTTTTTTGTAAAGAACATTTGGCTTTATTTTTTCCAAAGACACAAATCATCAAGTCACATTGTCACCACCACCGACACACATACAAAAAAAAACCTCCCCACCTTACTAAATGTATAAATTTATTTTGTAATCATGCGACAAAGGCAGCTGTGATGGACACAAGACCACTTGACGAATGGTGCGGGTCTACTATCACAGCCTGGACCTAAAGCAGTGCGTGTGTGCGTCCAGGCAGGTACAGTTTGAGCTACCGCAGGTACAGTTTGAGCTACCGCGTGACTAAAAAAAACAAAAAAAATCCCTTCTCAAATATCAACACGTTCCACCCTTCCATCTAAAGCTCCCTGTCAGCTACTCATCAGGTTCGCAAGATAGTCAAGGTTATTTCCTGATGCTCAGGAAATCCCCCCCTCCGCCCTCCCCCCAAAAACAACAGGTGACATCAAGTATCTGTGACTGTACAAAGCTAGCTCAATGCGTGCATCAGAAGCAATTGCCATCACTGGACCAGCATGTTTACTGACATGTCTTTTTTTTTTTTGCAGTCTTTTAACTGAGAGCCTTTGTCAATTAAGTACATAAGGTGACTGCACTCTTGTGACTGCATTGAAGAAACAAGGCACAAAGAGATTGCAAAACAACTAGAACATGAACCGTTGACGACGACGATGACAACGGCGGACCGTGGAGTGACATTTGGCTTTCTGGTTCCTTCTGTTTAAAAGAAACAAATCACACTCAAGTATACATCTAGTCCGAATGACACGTGCAGCACTGGCAAAAATCCATCGCGTTACCTTTACACTCTTGTCTGCAGATTTACACGGGAGCCGATAGATTGTCAACGCAGACATACAGTGGAACCTCCAATGTCCTAAACGTCAGATGGCATTTTTACAAAAAATGGGGCCCAAGAGTCAGCATCTAAAGTAGTGATTCCCATCATTGGGTCCAATTCTGCTTAATTACTGCCAACAAACGATGCCTCTTTGTTGTTCGCCTTTGCCAATGAAGTAGTGACAGGCAGAACAATTAAATGCTCCTCAAAGTCTTACCAAGTGTGACACGAACAATAAATGGCTGCACGGTACAATGAATTACATCCATCTATCCAATTTCTAGAGGGCGGTTTTCTCATTTGGGTTTTGAGCTGGAGACTATTCTAGCTGACTTTGGGTGCGAAGTCAGGGTACATCCTGGGCTGGTCACACACACCAGTTGTAGGGTCCATATACATGAACAAGTGTTCACCTCACATTAATACCTATGGTCGATTTAAATGACGCCAACATACTTGGTCTTGGAATGTGCGTACAGTACTCGGCGAGGAAAACAAAACATGCATATATGGGCAGAACATGCAGATATGCTAACAGGGATGTTTGAATTATTCAGTGAAGTGACCATTATTCATTTTGTCTGTGCGGAGTTGATTGTGGCAGAACATTCAGATAAGGATCCTCCCATCACATTCAAAATGACAGAACAGCCATTTTATTTTTTGTAGCAGTTGGCCTCGGTATGGTCACAGGTTAGGTTGAGCCTGCCAGGGTACATGCACACCATGTTCTGGTTGCCAGCCAATCACGTATAGACAAAAACGTCCAAACATGAGAGACAATTTAAAACTCAACATGAATTTTTTTGCAGGATGCGGAAGATGGAAGAACATGCAAACTCCACAAAGCAAGACTGGAGCCAAGATTGGAACCCAGAACCTCTCAACTGCGAGGCAGACATGCCAACCATAGCGCACTGTGCTGCCCACAATCAACAACACAATTTTAATTGAATAAGTAGATGCTAATGTAACTGCACTATAAAGTGCCACTCGGCGACAGTATTCCCGGTTCTGTTCCCTCTATTGATGGACTCAATACGGTGACTTCAGTTTTTGACTTCTTTTCACACTTGCTGCGATTGTTAATTCAAACATCACCGAGGTTTTACGTTCGACCACATAAATCATTCATACTATTGGAGGTTCCACTGTATTCTCGTGTCTAGTAACCGAAATGCATCTCCACTCATTATTACTAAGCTGTCTGGTGACATCATTGCACAACTCTCCACGGGTGATGCATCCAAGATCACGATACAAAATATATTTGGAAATATGCATTGCGTTGTTGCTAATTAGACTCCCCGCGCAGATCCTCTGCTGTTCTTTGGCATGACAGGTGTTGTGTAATCACTCCTATGAAGTCCAGTATGTCGCGAGAAAAAAAAATACATAAAAAGAAAGAAAAAAAAAAAAACATTTTTTGACCAAAAATGAAGATGATCATTGGCATAGCAGTCCCAGTTTTGCATACATGCTTTTTTCCCCCATATTACAAGTTCAACAGTCCTTAAGGGGGGGAGTGGTTAGGGTCTTCAAGGCTGCTTTTGAAGTTTTTTGAGTTTGTACACACACACACACACACACACACACACACACACACACACACACACACACACATATATATATAATAAAACAAAGCTTGTTTTTCTGCCCAGCAACACGTTCAAGGATGGAAATCACAATGAAAGCATGCAAGTTCATGTTCTATTCATGCTGCTATTTTCCACGTTCCTTTTTGTTTTTTGTTGTTGTTGTTTTTTCTTTTTTTCAATGATTACAAATTAAGACCTGTTTTCCATGGTTGATTTCTTTTGAAGTTGCATTTAGTTTCCTGGACTTTCCTCCCTGCTTCACGGTAGACTGCGGAGACGATGCAGCAGTGCTTCAGGGTCGCTTGCCAGATAATTGGGACTGCAGTTCACAGTTTGGTTTACAACAGCAGCATGTCAGAGATTTTGCACACCTTTATTTTCCTTTTTTTTTTCTTTTGATGGTGGTGTGTGTATTCCTGTGGTTGTATTTGGTGGAGCCACATATGTTTTTGTTTTTTTTTCCTTTTTTTTTTCAGGCTCTGCGCTCCACCGGCTGTTGCAGACACACTTCACTTCCCGCCGAAACGATGGGGAGTCTGTTGTCCATGTGGTAACTGATCAGGTGACTCACGCTCTCGAACCGATGGTCTTTTGTACGAACCTGTGAGCACAAAACATATGTTGGTGAATCTACATCTTTCATATCCTGGCAAATTTGAGAAGTTAGTCATTTTCACGGGATGTGTTCTGGCCGCAAATGATTAAGTCACATAACCCAGTGAAAATGTGTATTTTTGAAAATAGTCCAAATTTGCATTCTTTTCACATTTAAAATTGATTTATAGCCCCCATTGTGAGGAAAACCAAACCTCTGCGCTATTCTAAAGGACCCTGCTATTGCATGCACTGTATTGTAATCTACTGAAAATGTGAAGCGCTTGTTCTATCGGAGCAATTTATTGTGCATTTTGTACACATGCAGCTGTCATGTTGCTCTTCAATTTGTGCTTCGAATGCAAAAATGTTGGCGAAATATTTATTTTTGATGCTATTTTAACCCTTTCATGCACACTGCAGTAACTGCTGTCCCCGAAAGGGTTAATTTGACTAAACTTGTACAGCAAACTGTAATACAGTGGCTCCTTCTGTTGAGAAGATTGAGAATAAATTTGGACATGGAACTGCATGCAAGATACCCGTGTTTTCCTCGGGACTCACCACTCCCTCCGGGTCGACGAGGAGCAGGTGTTTGGGCTGACCGCCCTGCTGTCCCGTGAGCACATACTGCCCCGGCGTGGTTCCCGACTCCCGCACTAGAAAGTCTCCATCGCGGCCCAGCAGCCTCTCCGCCTCCCTGCGACTTAAACTGCCATGGAACCAAGTCTCGCACTGTAACTGCTCCACCAGAGGGGGCGCTGCTGTCACGGAGCCCCCAAGGGCATCATCAAATGGCTCTTTAAAGACAAGGTGGGATTTATGCTTGTATTAGGAGGACAAGATGCACTGACTCCATTTACAATGTTTTTATGTATTTTATGGCACTATTCACATATGTGGGAATCTAAGTGGGATGGTCAAAGGTGTCTTTAGTCAGACTTTCGGTCAGTCGTTAAATGTGTAGAAAATCCATTACCCGTTGTAGGTTCAGTATCATTTGATAATGCTTACCATATTTGATTGATTTACTATTTTGGCACAAACATCCTTGACAGTAGCAATTTGATCTTGAACAAATGAGTAAATAAAACAAAGAAATGATGATGACATATCCAGTTTGTACAATTATTTTAAGGTGAATGACATATAGTAAGTGCTGTGGTTCGAGTCAAGAGTAACTCACTCATGTCAAAAGCATCTCTGTGAGCGTTCCCATTGGCGGCGACT